GTTTTTGAAATCCTATCTTACAAACCGCTTTCAAAGAACTATTATTTTTAAAGATAACATCTATAACTTTTCAAAATGGAAAATGATCTATTGTGGTGTACCTCAGGGCTCTATATTGGGACCCTTGTTGTTTTTAATCTATATTAACGACCTGCCTTTTAACATAAACTCAAAGCTTGTTCTATACGCAGATGACACAACAGCTATATTAAAATCAAACAGCCCTAACAATTTACAAAATTTGATAAACCAAACTTTTGAAGATTTAAACAAATGGTTCAGAGCAAATGGTCTGAGTCTAAATTGTTCTAAAACTCAAATTGTCAGGTTCAAAACTACTCATGACAGAGAAAACATCGAATTAAATATAAATTTTCAGGGGGAAATTATTAATGAAACGTCATCTACAAAATTTTTAGGTATTCAGGTACAAAACACTTTAAATTGGGATAAATACACATCAGTTTTAGCTAATAAACTAAATACAGTCTGTTTCCAGATGTCTGTCCTGCAGCATGTTACTGACCTCAGAACAAGGATGATTGTTTATTATGCTTTGTTTGTGTCAAACATGTTGTATGGAATAGAGTTCTGGGGCAGCTGCTCAAATGCCGAAACCATTTTCAAAATTCAAAAAAAGATCCTTAGAATTATGACATTTTCAAAGCCTAGGCAATCCTGTAAATTATTATTTAGAGAATTGAAAATATTAACACTTCCGTCTGTTTATATCCTGCAAACATTAATATTTATTAAAAAAAATCTTGAATATTTTATGAATGAAAACCATAACCATAATTATTTAACAAGACATCGAAATGATTTACAACTGCCCATTCATAGACTTACCTCACTAGAAACCCTTCCACAATACCTAGGGAAAAAACTGTATAATAAACTTCCTGATAATATTAAATCATTAGAATCTTTTGAAAAATACAAAAAAGAAGTTACCAAATTGCTGCTTAATAAAGGGTATTACAAAGTTGATGATTTTTTAAATGATGTATATATTTGATTTCTTAACATATTGTATAGTTATTATAGTTGTATGTATTTTAATTGTCCATGACCATTTCACCTGTTTCCCAGCTATGCTGGATCTGTAAAACGTTATGTGAAAATAAATGATTGACTTGACTTGACTAGGTAAATGTAGGATGAGTGGCGCGATATTGTAGTCTTGTTACTGACTATGGCCGACATATTCCTTAGACAGTGACTGATAATTAATAGCCCATACAGTCAACAGCAACTAAGGGACCTACAGTTTATAGTGGAATCCGAACCACATTTTGCCTTGTAATTTACGAATTGGTCTAATTAATAATTATCAGGACAGTACTTGTGCCTATAAATATCCACAATTTGTGACCTCCGAGTGGCTGGATTATAGAACGATGCCAAAATACGGCTCTGTCTGTACTGTGCCAAAGTATTTCAATCAGCCTATCACACTTTGGCAATAAGCAACAAGTTTGTTTGTTCTTTCAAAATAGTATAGGGTTTTAATGGCTTCTTAAAGTCTTGAGAGGAAAATAAATTAGCAAAAACATATATATAGTCCAGGACCTGACTAGGGTTCTGTGTGCATGTCGTGTATAGTGAATTTTACTTTTGCATTTCAATATAGGTGTCTTAGGAAGTGTTTTCCACTCGGGTGTCAAGTTCGCACCTGGTACGTTTTCGAGCTATGACGTCATCAAGATGGCGGCTCAGCAATTTTTGAATGCGTATATTTCGCGAACCGTTTAATGGATCAGGATGATTTATTTTTTGTTTGAAAGATATTTTTACACCCTATCTTTCTTGTATTTACACTTTTGTTGTAAACTTAATATTTATCTCACTATATTAAAAAACGTGTTTTTTATTATTATTATATTTATTGTTTTGCTTATAACTTCTTAACCGCTGATAAAATCAAATACCACCCATTGCAAAAGTTGCAGATTTGTTTTATTCTATACCCTTTCCAATGATACCAAACAATATGTGATTAGACCTAAAGATAAAGCAAAGAGATTGAATAAATCGTAAACGAACACTGAAAGTGGTGTACGTTCCGGGAAAGATTTAGTCCTGGACATGACTAGAATTCTGTGTGCATGTCGTGTATAGAGAATTTTGCTTTTGCATTTCAATATAGGTGTCTTAGGAAGTGTTTTCCACTCGGGTGTCAAGTTCGCACCTGGTACGTTTTCGAGCTATGACGTCATCAAAATGGCGGCCATTGATTTTTTTAAATCGTATATTTCGCAAACTATTTGTCGGATCGGAATGAATGTTTTTTTGTTTGAAAGATAATTTTAAATGCTACCTGTTTTACATTTACACATTTGTTGTATGTTTAGTACATTCTTCGTAATTTTGCAAAAACCTGTATTTTTAAATATTTTTGAGTTGTTTTTGTTTGTAACGTTTTATTGATACAATTTATCAAAAACCACCAATGAAAAAAGTTGTAGAACATTTAAAAATCTTTACAAAAATACCAAATTTGATATGTTTTACTCAAAAGATTACGTCAAGAAACTAGATAAATCTCATAAAAACACCAATTTTGGCGCAAAAACGCCTATTAGTCCGGCCTCTAGGGCAGTTCGCAAGTCTTATTAAAAACAGTTTCGCCATTCAATGTTGATGTACGTGTCTAGATAAGGGTTTTCAACTCGGGTGTCACATCTGCACCCACTGCAGTTTCCGGTTATGACGTCATTAAAATGGCGGAAAGGGCTATATTAAAAATAACGATATTTTACATACCATGTATTGGATCGGAATGAACTTTTTTTTGTTTGAAAGATAAGTTTACATGCTATCTTTCTTACATTTGCACTTTTGTTTTATGTTTAGTACATTTTTCGTAATTTTGCAAAAACCTATATTTTTAAACATTTTTGTGTTATTTTTGTCGATAACGTTTTATTGATACAATATATCAGAAATAACTTAAAAAGTAGCACGTTAAAAGAGCTTTACAAAAATACCAAATTCGATATGCTTTACTCAAAAGATCACGTCAAGAAACTAGAAAATCGTACAAAACAACCTAATTTTGCGCAAAAACGCATATAAATCTCAATCCATGCAAATGGAAATTCGCTTAGTCGAAAGGATTGCTGCACCGGGGGTATTTATATAGTGGAAACATTCCTATGGACTAATTACATTGATTTGTTGTGCTTTTATTTGCATAAAAGAGGGTAATGGTCTTATTTTAAGTAAAATAGCTGGTGAAATCGTAACATGTAGCAATTTTTAAGACATCATAACCGGAAACTGCAGTGGGTCCAGACGTGACACCCGAGTTAAAAACACTTCTTTAGACACATACATCAACATTGAATGGTAAAACTGTCTATATATGACTCGAACACAGCCATCGATGTCGGATTTATATGCGTTTTTGCGCAAAATTAGGTTGTTTTGTACGATTTTCTAGTTTCTTGACGTGATCTTTTGAGTAAAGCATATCGAATTTGGTATTTTTGTAAAGCTATTTTAACGTGCTACAACTTTGTCTATAAGTTATTTCTGATATATTGTATCAATAAAACGTTATCGACAAAAATAACACAAAAATGTTTAAAAATATAGGTTTTTGCAAAATTACGAAAAATGTACTAAACATAAAACAAAAGTGCAAATGTAAGAAAGATAGCATGTAAACTTATCTTTCAAACAAAAAAAAGTTCATTCCGATCCAATACATGGTATGTAAAATATCGTTATTTTTAATATAGCCCTTTCCGCCATTTTAATGACGTCATAACCGGAAACTGCAGTGGGTGCAGACGTGACACCCGAGTTGAAAACACTTATTTAGACACGTACATCAACATTGAATGGCGAAACTGTCTTTATAAGACTTGCGAACTGCCCTAGATGCCGGACTAATAGGCGTTTTTGCGCCAAAATTGGTGTTTTTATGAGATTTATCTAGTTTCTTGACGTAATCTTTTGAGTAAAACATATCGAATTTGGTATTTTTGTAAAGATTTTTAAATGTTCTACAACTTTTTTCATTGGTGGTTTTTTATAAATTGTATCAATAAAACGTTACAAACAAAAATAACTCAAAAATATTTAAAAATACAGGTTTTTGCAAAATTACGAAGAATGTACTAAACATACAACAAATGTGTAAATGTAAAACAGGTAGCATTTAAAATTATCTTTCAAACAAAAAAACATTCATTCCGATCCGACAAATAGTTTGCGAAATATACAATTTAAAAAAATCAATGGCCGCCATTTTGATGACGTCATAGCTCGAAAACGTACCAGGTGCGAACTTGACACCCGAGTGGAAAACACTTCCTAAGACACCTATATTGAAATGCAAAAGTAAAATTCACTATACACGACATGCACACAGAACCCTAGTCAGGTCCTGGACTAATAGGTATATTTTGCAAAAGATTAAATTTTGAATTTAATTAATAAACCCTATCATTACCTAATGTGAAAACACAGTATGGTATTTTTTTCAAAAAGAGTTTTTTGTCATTGTTTTCTATTCAGTCAATTGTATGAGAGACTATGACGGTAAAAAAATATACATATGTCAAATATATTTCTATTATTAAATATGTCAAAGATAGGCAGAGTTTTTGCAAAGAAGTGATACAATAAGAGAAGAAATAATTAAAATGAGCTCAAAACCTGAATATGATACTGTATACCTATGTTGTCCCTAGGTTGCTGTTTCGAACCTGAGAAAAGCCAGAAACTTTTTGATTGTTTGAAATTTGATGCAGCTGACTTTGATCATTGGGCTAAAGGAGAATGAAATGATAACTTTGCTATTGACTTAGATCAGCTAATCAGCACCACTCAATTCTCATCCTTCACGAATCCACCCCTTAACACACCCTGGTATTTCAGGGTTGTATGAATCCAATGTATGTTTTTCTTTGTTCACTCTTGAATCAGAAATAGAGACTCAGCACATCATGGTTTTTAACAATTTACTTTTAACCTCTCTGTCGTTTTAGCTCCACCCGGTAAAAAGAAGAAGGTGAATGAACTGCCGCCACTCTACTCCATAGAGTACAGCATGAGACGTCCTTCAGATGACAATATTCACGAACCGGAAGGTAAGTCTGTCTGTGTTTGAATAATGTTTAAACAAAAATGTCTTAAGCAATTATACACACTTTAGGCGTACCAACAAAAGGAGAAGTAGAACAACAATTGAAAGAGTTTAGAATCACATCATAGTTTCACTAGGCCTAAGGATTGTCGTTTTGATTGTTTCAAGGTTGATTCCTTGCTCAGCCAAGATAAATATCTTCTTAGTGAATGTAATTGACTATGGTTTAAAGGTCTTCCTTTTTATCCATGCAATCCTTCGACCACCTACACTTGTGACAATTATTTCTGGGCGCAATATTACAACAAAGAGTTTTCAGAAGATCCTGAGTCTCGGTTGTCTTCCCCACGTCCCATGACTCCGCGGCGAGTGAAGCGTCGCAGTGTCAACTCACGAGGAGTGCCTCTACAGCGGCCGCACTCTTCACATCTGTCGCACAGTCAGCGACACTCACACTCGAGGTCGTCGGCACGCTCGTCTCAGCGTAGACATCGAGTGTCCCATCCCAGTCCGGTCACCCGGCTCATAGATCAGCAGCAGAAGCAAGGTACATGAACCTCATGTACATGTTTTTCAACACTATTTACCCCCAAATAATAAATTTGAAAAACAGTTTATTTTGGAGGATGACATAAGCTGGGTACCTTTAACGAAATTTTCTGATCAGCTGAACGTATAATGGTTGTAGTGTTCACTGAGATTGGATGGTGAAGGTTGTTAGTGTTATCCCTTGATATAAGCCCCTTATTAAAGGTGCGATTCTTAACAAGATCTGCAATTAGATTCTAGATAAGAAGAAGTTATATTATTTAACGTCTTCTTATCCAGAATTTAATTTTCATATTCATTTAATAATGGTTCAAAACAAAAGTGGCCAAATCTAAAAATCACCTCAGTGTGAGTAGGATCCCTAGCCGTCCAATTGCCATCCCATTAATTCTTCACTCGTTAGTAACCTTCCTAAACCAGATACCTTTATTACTTATTCTATAATATTTGGTATTTTTCACTGATACATACATTTCTTCAGCATTAAATTGGGATCTAAAAATAAGAAACTAGAACTATATAATGTTGTTTATGATATTTTAAGTGGACATCTCAAAATATATGCTTCAGAGCCTATCAAACTTATCTGATGAACTGCAGCATACTTGTTTTTTTACTAATCCTAATATATATTAAAAGTTTTTGTATATATTTTTTTATTTTTTATTATTACTTAATAGGTTTCTTGGCTATAGATTGTCCCACACTTAAGAAATCCTTGTAACTTCTCCATTGAACTGAGGTGTCTAGGTGATGTAAGATGCCAACATTTTAGAGACAAATCGTAAAGTGAGAAAAAGTAGTGTTGTAAGTGAACAGTGTCTACATTGCTCTGAAGTTGGAGAAGAGTAATGATGTCTGCAACACTGTCATCTTACATCGACGAGGCAACACGTTTCAACCCAGAAGTCACAGGGATTTCTTCTTTGGAAAACTGCCATGGAAGTTTACATTAGCCAAGTTTCTTATCGAGTTTAGATTATTTTATCTCTAATTCAATTATCTTAAGCTTACTTATCAACTGGAACTGTTTCTCTCAGACGTCAGCAGACTGGTGGGTCACACCAACCCAATGTACCAGCAGAGCTCAAGTAACTCGCTGGATCTTGACTGTGACCGGCCGTCGTCTGCGAGGTCTGTCTACTCCAACTACCACGGCACTCGAGCATTCACATACACAGCTCAACCACCCTCCACCTTCCTCAGCCGAGGACCTCCCGCCTACTCTCCTGACAAGACTGAGACTGTCATTTGAATAATCAAAACAAATACTAGCGATAGATGTAAAAATGAGTTAGGGTAATGATTTCATCATCACTGTAGATTTTATTATTTAGTGCAAAATGTTAAACTTAAAAGTAGGCTAATTTATTTAGAGGGGAATAATTAACATGCCTTGAGAGTCAGCATCCCAAGTGTGTGGGGATGTCTCCTCCCACCTCCCTTCTGGTGACCCACTAGCGAATATCTTCTTTGCCTGTGTTTCTGACCATGGGATAACCTTGAGGGAAACTGTTATTGTAAAAAGTGTAATTATAAAATCCTCCTGTTCGTTCTCCAACTGCTGGTAGCTTTGTAATTGTTAAAAACTGAACCTGGGGGCTGTCCATGACCGTTGGGCTTCAATGAATGGTAAAAAATGGCCTAAAACTAAAAATAACCAAATTTTTATTAACAATGTATTAAAACTTGTTGCTAAATGCCATGGTATTTTAATGAGAAGTAAAACAACTAAAACCATCACTAACTCGCATCTTTTATGTAAAACAAATTGCATTTTTAACTTAGCCAATACAATGTTTTTTTGTTATCATTTTGTTCCTGAGAAAAGTGTTCTATTCCAGTGTGTTTTTAAATAAGACCTACAAACTTCTCTATTAGTGTACACCAATTTAATAAAATCTTCAAGAAAACGTACTCACAAGGAATCACCAAAATGTATGACATTAAAAACAAAGTAATACAGCTGAAAAAATGGTAAATTTACACCTCGTTTGTACATACAAAAACCTTTATTTCCTCTTTTTTTTAGAAGAAAATGTCAAAGCATAACGTTTAGCAGTGGCGTAACTAGAACATGGCTTTGGGGGAGGGATGGTTGAGCTCAATAATAATTCAATTCAATTTAAATTAGTTAATTCAATCTGTACTCATGCGTGGGGTCAGGGGCCTTCCCCCAGAAAATTTGGAAAATGTAGAACTCCAAACTCACATTTTCAGGCATTCTAGAGGTGTAATCACGTTCAATAAAGAACTAAAAAAATCAACCCAATTGAGGCTGTCTCTGGCCGGACAGATTCAGGAAATAAAGTACCACTATCGGTTAACACACACTCACTCGTTATTGTTTTTTACCGGCCGTCTGCCTGATTTGCAACTTATTACAGTTTCTCCAAGTTTTAGACTTGGCTTACATACCCTCCCAAGAGCCCTGACACCATTCCGAATAATAATACACAATACACAACATTTTACTAAATAACATCAATACTTTTCAGAATGACATGGCTTATTTAATATTTGTTACAAGTCTATACAATTTTTTTTTGTTTATGTTCTTTGCTTAAATGAAGGTAAACTATCATAATAAAAAGACAAGAGGACAGTTAAAGGCCTTTCCTCTTTGACATTTTATTAAACTACTACAAGATTACAGAACAGAACTAGAACACAGAGTAAAAAACTAACGTAAAAGCCAAGCCGTCTGGCGTCTTAGTTCTTCTCACACATGCCTGCAGTGTTAACCACTCAAATTTACTCTTACTGCCTGGGTGTATTCATTAATTAAATCTTTTAAAATTATTTTACTATCCAAATTAACTAAAAAATTATTGAATTAGATTAATAAAACAAAATCAAAAATAAATCATCTGTTTCAGCTGTAAACTTCACGCAACTGTATTTTAAAGAAATAAGATTGCTGTGATAAAATAATTATTTTTATTTTAGGGTTCTGAGGAGGGGGTTCTATCCCCCATCCCCCCCCCCTGTAGTTACGCCACTGACCATTAGGATCTAACCTGAAATGGAATATATATATATATCCACACACATACAAAACCGAACCTTGGAACTAATAAAAAGAAGCCTTCACATTTTTCAATTACTTGGATGAGAAGTCCACTTGCACTATTTAAAGTCAATGGTCTATCACACTTCAGTTTGTAGATCTTATCCCAAAAAAACTTTAAATATTATTTACCTAATAGCTGAAGCATTTGTCAAAAACTTGTCCTCCCAAAGACTATTTTTGAAGACTAGAATGTAAATAGTGTAAAAAGTGATTGTACATAGTTAAGAGTTTTTTATAACTACAGTTTTGTAAATATAGCAATTCTTATACAACTAAGTGATGTTTTACAATTCCCCCCCCCCCTGAAGTAGGCCTATTTATTGTTAATGGTTGCACTGTGAGAATCCTGGACAACTTTCAAGTAATTATTTATCTTACAATTTCTATAATACAGTTCCGCTAATTTTGTCAGGTTTGTAAGAATACCCAAGTAATCACAATTGGGCCTCGCTACAGACAGGTGAACAACTCATAAATAAATACACCATACCATACCAACTGAAATAGGAGTGGAAACCTTGGTGAACGGAGTGTCTAGAAACTTGTTAAAGATAGCCAAGACCCTAGTGTAATAGTTTAGGCTTGTCTACCAGATTGCAGGACTAGTTAGGCACAGTAATAGAGTCATGGTTGCAAAAATATTTTCAAGTAATGAATTTGTTATGTTACTCATAATGGCTGACATAATCGTGCAAGACACCTGCTGATTTTACCTAATATCTACCGATTCCGACCTAAGATACCGATTGTGCCCTAGTCTGCACATCACTACCAATGTCTTGTTGATCTCTTACGTCTGTCAATCATATTCTACTCTGCCCATTTCTCCCAGCTTGGCTGAAAAATGGCTTAGAACAGCATACCAAACCAAACCAATATTTAGACCTATGCCAGATTACTGCAATCAAGCAAACACGATCTGGGAACTCGGCAGAGGTTGTTCCTTTCTTCAACTGACATCCATGTAGATAACTAATAAACAACCAAATGAAAACTTTTGGAAATATGAGAAGAAGAAGAAGAAATATGGTTAGACGGATAACATATATGCACAAATTTTCTGTCTGACAGTCTAAACAAACTGCCAAATAGTGTCACAACTGCTCTCGCAACTGATGTCGCTCGCAGGCTGTCAAAATGTTTGACACGAACTTGCATATCTCAACATGAAATGAAATTTATCATAATTCCAGTAATAAAGAAATGTCTTAGTTGGAGAGGTTTTAGAAGGGTTTAAAATTTGGTAAACATTATAATATACACTTTTTAAATTAAGTTTTATCTTTGTGGCTATTTTTAGTGTGAAGAAAAAATCTAGGTTGTAGGTAGGGTTCTTATAATCGACAAATATTTTGTTCAGTTTCTCGGAAAACACTTAAACAGATCACAACATTACAAAGGACATATCATCACCAGTTTTTGGGTCTATCTGTCTTTTTTCTAGAGTTGGGCAAAAATATTCATTTTTAGGTTTGAGCCGAGGCAAACATTTTCGCAAAAGTTTTGAGCTTTGACGTCTTTTAAGCCAAGCCATAATTTTATGAGTCTATTACTGGTTTTATGAGTCCATATTTAAATACCCCAGCCACAGAAAACCTGCAGACTAAGCAAATTGCCATTCCCCTAATTGGATTTACACTACAGTAGACTCTCTCTTATCCGGACACCTTTTAACCGGACATCGGTTTAACCGGACTACACTCAGCGGAAATGACATCTCTTTAACCGGACAATTTTTATCAGCACATCGGTTTAACCGGACCAGATCGGCAGGAAGTGGGCGGTACTGAAACGACTGTTCTCGTGGGAAAGATTTGAGACCAGCAATCACGTGTATAAATACAATGCTCTCCTAAATTTATAGTGTGATTGTTGACGGAAAGCGGCTGGCTGAAGGGTCGACCCTACTCACACACACGCAGGCCTCACACACACAGACGCAAGGGATTAGGACGGACGTGGGACGGACCATTGTCCTGCCATTCGAGTCATCGGTGGCTCACGGAAATTAAACTATGATTGTTTTTTTATTTTACGTTTGTTATAAAATCTGGTAACGCTTTTGACTTCAGCTCAAAATGCTTAGGAAAATGATACCAAACAATATATATTTTGCTTACAAAGTGTAAAAGCTACGAATATTTAAACACGTTTTTATTAGCTAGCTACTTGTCATAATTATTTCGTGTTTGGACTCATTTTTCATTGAATTAAACAAAAAATTTATTAACACTAACCATTTTACTGTATATCTAACATCAAATGAATTGCAATTTTGAGGTATCATTAACAGATGTTATATTTCTAACTTAGTGGATAGGGGATCGGGGCTTTCAGGCAATTAGGACGGTGGTGAGTGTGCGTGCGTGAGTCGGGTCCCTCGCAGGTAGGGCTGAGCTCCAGCCGCACTCCGGTAAAAATCAGACTATAAGTCAAATACTGTATACATTATGCATTTAAACGGTCCGTTTAAAAAAGTTTTTGGGGACGTCGGTTTAACCGGAAAACCGGTTATCCGGACTGGCATCGGTCCCGAGGAGTCCGGATAAGAGGGAGTCTACTGTATAATATATCCATAAAAATATCACATGTGTTCCCTATTTAAATAGCATTAGTTTAACAAGTACCGTACTTAGGTTTGCTGCAACTGGGAGGGTAATAGTTTTTTTTTTGTAAAATGGTAATAGTTTAATATGAAATCAAACTAAATGCATTTCCCAAATTTGATCTAAATATGTTCATAAAGAAGCAAACTAACAGTTTACTTATCCTCCATAAGAATAGCATGGAAATTTTAAATTTACAATATTTTGTAATTTTTTCTGTAAACTATTAGGCGCATAACAACGCTTCAATATCCTACTTATTTGGTTTGTGAGCTCTGCAAAATGGTTTGAAAAGAAATTGCAAAATTTTATGTTTATAAGGTCAAAAATGGGAAAAACCAATTTTTACCATATAAAACCCTCCATAAACCACTGTTCCCATTCCGCTTCACGAACCAGTAAGATTTTACAGTTTTCATGCAACACAGTAAAAACTCTCAGTGTGAGATATAAAAATACCCCCGCCGCAGCAAACCTGCAGACTAAGCGAATTTCCATTTGCCTGATTGGATTTACACTAAAATGTCTACTTAAAAATGTAACATTTATTTCCTATTAAAATAGAATTTTAAACTAATTCAGGTACTTAGGTTTGCTGCATCAGGGAGGGTAAAACTGTTTTTTTTTGTAAAATGTTAATAGTTAGTAAGAAATAAAAACATTTTCCAAATTTGATCAAAATATGTTCATAAACAAGCAAACTACAACAGTTTACTTGTTCTCCATAAGAATAACATGGGAATTAAAAATTTACATTTTTTTGGAATTTTCTCCGTAACCATTAGGCGCATAGTAACACTTCAATATACTATATTATTTGTTTTTTTAAGCTCTACAAAATGGTTTGGAAAGATTTTGCGAAATTTTATGTTTTTTGGGTCAAAAATGGGAAAAACCTATTTTTACCCCATAAAACCCCCCGTAAACCCCCGTTCCCATAGCCCGATCAAGCTGGTTCGCGAACTCGTTCAAGTTTATCCCGCCTTACACCTTCAAACCAAATTTTATCAAAATCGGACAAAAATTACTCAAGTTATCGTGCGGATGGACACATATATATATATATATATATATATATCTATATATAGATATATAAAAATTTGAACGAATGGTGTTTTTGGCCTCTGGGGACATCAAAATGAAAAAGTAAATCGGTCCCGGGCCTAGGTCTTACCATGAGACCTACGGTAATAGCTACTTCCCTATAGGGAAATTCGCTAATATCTTCACCCATAAAATAATTTTTGGATTTTCTAAATAGACTACATAGCCCAGGCAAATTAGACATATGCTCCCCAAAAAATCGTCTAAAGCTGGAAAGTGTTTTAATACCTTTTGGGGGTCCCAAATAATACTCCTGTGAGTTTGCGACGGATTCTGACGTGTGCTTGAGTTTTGGGAGTCGAAAAACTATGAAAATTTTGCACTTTTTTCAGTTTTTCGCTTATAACTCCTAAATAACGAATCCTAAGGAAAATGTTGTTCAAAGTTGTCTTTTCGTGCATTAAATTCCGCGTCGATTGATGTTAATTACGTCAAAATCGGCCAAACCGTTTAGCCGCTGTAGCTTTTCAAAGTTGGGATATTTTCAATAACATGGCCAAAAGGTTGATTATTTGACCAGTTTTCGGCTTACAACTCCTAAACGTCGCATGCTATACAAAAATGCACCTGTAGTTAGTTTGGAAAACACAAAATTCTGCGTATGATTTTTTTTATTAATCAATAACAGCAATTGATTGTTACCTACTTTGTATGGTCGCCATTTCATTAAAAAAAGTATTATAGTTAAAGTTGGGAAATTTTACTAAAATTGGTAACAACATAGATCCTGTCCTTAAATGGATTATGAATGATTAGATAGTGGTTTATTCAATGATGGTCATCCAGAGCTTTACCTAATAAGGTGTGATGAGAATAAGACACCCTATGAAATTTTAAGTCTAATATTTTTGTCTGAGGTTCCAAAAATTCTAGGATTCATATCCCAGCCACCCATTATACAAGGTGAGTTTTAATTGTCCCCCCACAACTTTTTTCTACATTTTTTCGAATATCAATCCCAGACCACTTCCAAACATTGTTGAGTAGTAAGTACTTCATTTTGACAAGGTGGTCATTTCCGGCCGCCATCTTGGATCCGCCATATTGGATGCAAAATATTTTTTTCTAAAGTAAAGGTGGGGTTGTGACCCAATATTACGAACTAGATTTTTACCCTGATTACAATGCCACAAACAGTTTAAAAAAATCTTGATTCATTCCAAAGTTATGGGGGCTTTTTAAAACTTTATTTTTACCCCATTTTAACATTGTGCATGCTTATGAGCTATTAATCTCAAAATAGTGCTAGATAAAGATAAGTATACACTATCTAATCATTCATAATCCATTTAAGGACAGGATCTATGTTGTTACCAATTTTAGTAAAATTTCCCAAATTTAACTATAATACTTTTTTTAATGAAATGGCGACCATACAAAGTAGGTAACAATCAATTGCCGTTATTGATTAATAAAAAAAAATCATACGGTGAATTTTGTGTTTTCCAAACTAACTACAGGTGCATTTTTGTATAGCATGCGTCGTTTAGGAGTTGTAAGCCGAAAACTGGTCAAATAATCAACCTTTTGGCCATGTTATTGAAAATATCCCAACTTTGAAAAGCTACAGCGGCTAAACGGTTTGGCCGATTTTGACGTAATTAACATCAATCGACGCGGAATCTAATGCACGAAAAGACACCTTTGAACAACATTTTCCTTAGGATTCGTTATTTAGGAGTTATAAGCGAAAAACTGAAAAAAGTGCAAAATTTTCATAGTTTTTCGACTCCCAAAACTTAAGCAGACGTCAGAATCCGTCGCAAACTCACAGGAGTATTATTTGGGACTCCCAAAAGGTATTAAAACACTTTCCAGCTTTAGACGATTTTTTGGGGAGCACACCCTATTTTTGATCTAATTTGCCTGGACTAACAGTAGAACCCCGGTTGACCGAAATAAAGGGGGAAGAGCCGTTTCGGATAACCAATTTTTCAGTTAACCCACATGCTAAAAATAGCCTTTTTATTACCATGGTGTGTAAGAAAAATTAATTCAAAACAACGTCTATATAATACAGTATTTTATTTCAGCGAAAAAAAATGTTCCATGGGTTAGAAAAGCCCCTTTCTAATGAGAGGGGCTCGGCTACGCCTCACTGTTTATATATTACATATCGTACTTATTAACCTTGATTCATTTTATGGAACCGTTTTGGTTAAGCCACCTGTCAACCACCTTTATTATGGGTAAGCAATGAGAGTAACTCAATAACTTTTAAACCGTAATTTTTACAGCAATGGGGGGTTGCGCTATTTTGTTAATTATAAGGACCATCACATACTAATTTCAATCAAAACCGGCTGTTTTGAAAACCCGATTTCTTCACAAGTTGCCATAATTTTTGAACCGTAATTTTTACAAGAATGGGAGGTCTCTACAGTACTATTTTGTTCAAAATTTAAAGGGATACAACATACTAAATTTTTATCAAAATAGTTCGGGCCATCTTCGAGAAAATTCAATTTTTCTGTTAATTTATAAGTTATGAGGAAATCATCATTAAAAATCAAAATATCAAAAAATGAAAAAAAAACCCTGGAGATACCATAGATGAGTAAATATAAACCAAATTTCATCAAAATTGAACGACATTTGTGGTCTGTAGCTCTGTTCAAACCCACACACACACGAATAGACAACACTACGTAAACCACTTTTTTGGGTTCAGAGGGATCCAAAACAGATATATTCACTCAAACTTGAAAATTTTGATGAAAACAATACTTGCTCCAAATACTATGTATATGAGGAGAAAGTAATAAAATTTGGTTTACTATCAACATCAAAATGATACAATTTTTTGTCTTACAAATACATTTTATTTCCTTATTGAAGAAGATAAATAACAACCAAATAGTCTATGTATTGATAGAAACTACCCTTAATAAAAAAAGGGAAACCAAGGTAAAGAAAAACATGTTTTACAAATAAAGCAGTTTTAATGTTAAAAATGTGTATGTTTCTACTTGATTGATAACTTTTTTTAAAATGATATAACTAAATACATTTCTTGCATTAATAAACAAAGCATTCATTATTGATAACATAATTATCTCTAGTAAGGAGGGTACCTCTGATTAGGATATCTCGGGGGGACAGCCGGCTGGTTAGAGTAATTTGGAGGGTTGGGTGTTTGAGGGTACCCTTGAGAGAAATTGTTAGCTCCAGTTTGAGGATCTCTGTAGCCGTACTGATTATTACTGTAAGTGCTGATAGGATTTCCATAGTTTGAATTTCCTGGAGTCGACTGATTCCCATACCGTGGGTTTGCAATATTTTGATTCCCGTATGTAGGGTTTGATGAGGCGTTGGAAGGAGGTGCATTAAAAGAATCTCTGTTTGAACCGTAGGGATTTCCATATGTCCCAGGTTGCTCTTTATTAGAGGCAAAATTACTGTTTTTATTATAGTAATCTGTATTCACTTGGGGATTACCTGAATACTGCTCTTTGTTTGAATATGTAGGAATAAAGCTGGTGCCATACGCAGGTTGAGGTTGGCCAGAATTTGTGTAAGGGTCTAGCTGCGACTGTCGCTCCTGAGTGGGCCCTTGGTAAGTATAAGGTTGTTGGTTAGAACCTTGGTAAGCATCATGTCTTGCTGGAATGGCGTCTGAATAAAGCGATTGTTTGCCCATGAAAATATTGTCTGGATTACCTTTTTGTGTATTTAACTGGTCATTAGTTGTTTGTTTGAGTTGGGATGGGTTTTCTGCTGTAATAAATGGAGGTTTTTCAGGATTGCCAAGGTTTGACCATGTATTACTTTGTGGGGTACTCTGCCGAGATTTATCACTGTTCAATTCGTCAGCTTGTTTAGCCTCTGGTTTTGTGGTTTCTTTTGATTCATTTGATTGATTTTTTTTATTTTCCTCATCGATAAGTTTTTGTTGCTGCCTCAATTTTTCTTGTGCCGCTTTATAAACATCTTCAAAGGAATAGTCATCGTCGTCGTCGTCATCATCTTCTAAATCACTCTCTTTACTCTTATATTTAGAACTATCAAAGTTTCCTAGAAAAGGTACCTGTGTGTTACGGCTTTCGTGTACAATCTTAACATCGTTCTTACCGTCTTCGTCATCGTCATCGTCAATGACAACTTTGTCTCCAATAGTCGGGTTAGCACCACCTGATCTCTGAGAAAATGGAGATAAACGACCAGAAGAAGTAGATTTGATTTTCTGCTCACTTTTATTTTTAGAAATAGGAATATTGATAGGAGATCGTTTCACATTACTGGAAGTAGACGAAGGTGAAGGATTGTCAGCTGCTACGATTACACTTGTAGGAATGAAAGGGCACAAACGCTTGTACATTTCAATATTGTTCGTTTTAAGCCTTTGTACAAAAGAAGGTTGGTCTTCTTTAGTCATCTTATTAAATACAGACAGTGTGGATGCCAATTCTTGATCGGAGATGAAACTGTTAGTGGGAACTTGTTCCACATCTCGTTTGGGAGAGTCTTGATCTGCTTTAGTGGACTCATTGTATGCTGATTGCAATAGTTTAAGAGCTCCAAATGCGGCAGATGACTTTGGTTGTAAGATGTTACTTGCTGGTTGGGGAGCATTTATCTGAAGTTGAGCTTCACTTGACACTGGTTTAAGAGGTTCTAGATTTCCGATGGATGGAGCGACCGGAGGAATAGAAGTTGCAGGAGTAGGTACAGAGGAATTTTGTGCAGCTTGCAACTGTTGCAGAAAATAAGCAGTTGTCATTGGTCGAGAGGAATGAGCTGAGGCTTCAGCCATGCCAACAACAGCATTTATCAGCTGATTCAATTCACTTTCGGTTACATTAGTTTTTCCTTGCTCTACCAGCGCTGCTGCTATCTGCTGAGCAATTGCTATCTTATCCACTGCACCAACTCCTGGAACAACCATAGGTTCAGATCTAGTCACAGGCTGTAAGCCTACAGAAGCATAGGGTTGAATGCCTAAACTACTCGGAGGAGGGGGAAATGATCCATGCATCACAGCTCTGACTGTCGCCACTGGAAGAGATCTCTGTTTCTTTGAGGCAAGATACAAAGCGACATCCGTGTTTTTTATTGCTGATCGAGCCGTATTAACACAGTTTCTAGGTACAACACCGGCACATAACAGTGCAATCAGTTTTTCCCTCACAGTTTCCAAGTATACACTATTTTCCTCTTCCAGCAAAAGATCCAATGAGGCATCTTCTTTTATTTTTTCTAATGCCAATGATTGAGACATCAATTCAAATGTTTTCGGCGCCAGAGAACCCAACTGTTGCTCTAAAACAGTGAATTTTCTCAGAACAAAAATTAATGCTGATGTCCTTGTTTTTCTCTGAGGCATGTCTTCTAACAGCTTCTCGTCGGCGTTTGGTGGTGGAGTTGAAGATGTCGATTTGGGTGAATTTTTTCGCCTTGAAGATGGCACATCGTCTTCCCATGGAGACAATGGTCGCTTCGGAGTATCTTTAATGTCAGAGCCTGTAAAAGCTTTCCAAGTAGTTTTAATGTCAGCTATCATATCTTTCTTTTCAGGGGTCGGGGGGGATATATCAACTAGACCTGGGCTGGTATTCTTTCTTTTTCTTTGATGATATTTCCAAGGCATAGCATTGTCTCCAGGATCTTCAGGCAGATTAAACTTCTTTTTCAATTCCTCTTTAGCTTTGGCTAAATCTTCTTCATGAATTTCTTTTGTACGCTTTGCCCAAACGGCAATCCATTCAGGTTTAAAATCATGTTTACTAGGATCAATTCCGGACCTCTGTAATTCATTGTATCTTTTATTCCAAAAAGCTTTCCATTCTTCAGGATACTGTGGATGTTTTTCAGGATTTTTTTCATAGTATTTTAGTTTTTCTAGTTTAGCAGTTTCCACTTTTTTAAGTTCTTCTCGAAATTTTTCCCAAATGGCTTTTTCTTCAGAAGAAATCATCTCTTTTGGGGATATTCTTCCTTCTGGAGTATATTCCCTGAAAAATAAAATAAAATTGTGTGAAAAGGTAGCAATTGTAATATATTTGATTAAAACTTTTTAGAATATTGTATTTTAAAAAGTTTTTACTAAACAACAACTAGTGTAAGATATCAATTTTGGTTTACAGTAGAACCCCTCATATCCGACTTCCGAATAACCGACTCCTCGGGATATCTGACCTAGTGTTTGACTGTCTACTTGTTTCCTGTCTGGGCGATAACGCCTGAAACGCCAATGGTGGATGTTGTTGTAATCGTGGCAGACGATCACCACTGTCGCCGATAACGGGTGTTGTCTCCGTTGCGGGAGAAGATTACCAAAGTCTTGGAGACTGCAAGTTACGCTCACGGGTGTTGCCGCGGTCCCGGGAGAAGATTACCAAAGTCGCGGAGACTCCAGGTTATGCTTCCTCCCAATATCCCACTTTTTGGCCATTCCGACTATGGCCCTGTCCTGTCATGGTCGGATATGAGGGGTTCTACTGTAGTATATTTTATTTGATTTTAAAACAAATCAGACAAATGTTCTATTGTCCTGAGTTTCTGTAGCCTCTTTCACTCTTTTCATGCAGCATTTACGCTTACTGCCATACCGACCTATAACTTGCAAAATTGCAATATTTCATTTTTAGACCAAACTCAACCCTCATTATTAGGCCATCGAAGATCTTCTTTTTTTATTACACCTATTGATCTTGTTTTTTTTTTTTTTGTGCAACATAAACTGTTTCCAGAACAACATGACGCTACCAGGTGGGGTACCCCAGCTGTGAACACCTTTCATCATCTACAAGGTCGGTGGAAATATATAATATTTTATTTATAATAGAAGCTGAACTTAATCATTATAGAATTGAATTATTTATTTATTTATTTATTTATTTATTCAAGTAAAAAAAGTTTTACAAATAAGCAAGTTTTACAAAACAAGCTGCAAAAGCCTTACAACTGGGGTGTTAAATCTAATTTAATAAAAAGGATCTTTTGTAAATAAGTAAATTATTTGTGAGTAGGCCTATGAAGCCCAAGCTTCCTTCTTGTACAACTTGCGTTGGCTTCATCTCCCAAAGGAAAGAAAAGATTGGTAATACATTGGATAAATAATATGCAAAAAATCTTCTGGCTAAAAGCCTAACCAGAGCCTTGGCCAACTTTAAAAAATTGATTTAAAGAGGTCATAGGTTCCCTGCTCGCTTTTAAGTATTCTAGCCTATCTTGCAAAAACAACTCATGAGAACTTTTTAACTTGCTAAGAAATTATACATACAACTCAGTAATTTGTAGTACAGTAAGATAACTAGTATGTCATGGCATTTTATGGCTGGCAGGTAGGTCAGCCGCTAACCCACTGGCACGGTTTACCTATGAGTGCCCGTGTCACAATCAGGCTTTGGCGGCACTTGGCCAATGATGACTAATATGTAAAACTGACAAGTGTAGTACTTAGGTTGTCGTACATGCATTTCATTTCCTGATGTGTGCAATTTATACTAAACTTTTTTTATATGAATCTCAGCAAATGGGAGGGCCAACTTAGATAAACAGTGTGGGTTGAAGTTTGGTTATTAATTTAACAAATATTTTACATTGAAAAGAAAATATAAAGTTCATTTAGACCCATATAGTTAAAGTATATGACGGAAAAATGTCGGATAGAAATGTAACTCTGATTGTAAATCCTGTTAATCGATTAGAAACTCAACTAATTATTACATATCTATAATTCACACATACAATAAAAAAATACCCTCGCCGCAGCAAACCTGCAGACTAAGCGAATTTCAACTTGCCTGATTACATTTTTACTAAAATATTTCCATAAATAAGACATATTTATTCCCAATTTAAATAACATTAGATTTAACCAGTGCTTAGGTTTGCTGCTACGGGGAAGGTAAAAAGTGTTTTTTGACCATATGTCAATAGTATAGGATGAAATAAATAAATTTGCCAAATTTTATCAACATATATCCATTTAACAAGTAAACTACAACAGTTTTTATTTTCTCCATAAGAATAACATGGGAATTTTAAATTACACTTTTTTGAATTTTCTCCGTGACCGTTTGGCATAAAACAGCGCTTCAATATACTAATTTATTTCTTTTTTTAAGCTCTACAAAATGGTTGAGAAATAAATTGCAAAAATTTTCATTTTTAGGGTTAAAAATGGGAAAAACCTATTTTTACCCCATAAAACCCCCCATAAACCCCTGTTCCCATGGTCCGATTATGCTGGTTCGCGAACTCGTTCGAATAAATGTAGGTTTACACGTTTGTACCAAATTTCATCAAAATCGGGCCATTTTTGCTCGAGTTATCGCGCTAACGGACACATATATAAATATATATATATATATGAATTTGAACGGATGGTGTTTTTGGCCTCTGGGGACCTCAAAACGAACGAAGTAAATCGGTCCCGGGTCTAGGTCTTACCATGAGACCTACGGTAATAGCTTATTCCCTATATGGGAAATTCGCTAAAATCAAGAAAATTTTCAAATTAATAATTCTAAAAAAGCGATTTCAAACAAAAATCCTACTGTTTCTGGGATAAAATATTATACAGTAGAGTCCCGTTAGTTCGAAATGGTTGGGACCGGGCCCATTTTGGATTACCAAATATTTCGGATTAAACGTTTTTTTTTGTTTTTTTTATTTTTTGAAAAAATTTTTTTTAAATTTTTTTTGTCTTAGGACGATGGCACGAGCCCATGATTGTTTTTCACATTACTTAAGGCTAGACCTAGTGGCTGCAGCATTATCACTTGATAAAATCCATTTGTGATTTGGCGGGATTGGAGCCCGGGACGAAAATGAAAAATGTTAATAACAAAAATAGTGAAATATTTACTAAAATACTCTAAAAAAGGTCTATCTCGCCTGGCCGCTACAGAATACTTTGACGAAATACAGCTAACTGTGTTAAAAAAAGTTTAATAAAAAAAATTTCAACAAATTTTTAAACATTTTAATTTTTTTATAAAAAAAATATAAAAATATATTTTTTGTTTTGGATTAAGCGGACTTTCGGATTACCGAAGTTCGGATTATCGGGACTCCACTGTAACTACCTTCCCAAAATAATAAAAGCCAAAAATCTTTAAATGTTAGCTTAAGTTAGCTTAAATTATTATTGGTTTATATAAAAATATGTATCAGTTTGCTATCTTGTTATTAAACATGTATGACGTAGGCCAAGAGTTCTGAATCCTGTTCATGTATTGTTTTAAATACTCTTATATATTTTTTAATAGAGTATTTTTTAATTGAATTGCATTAATGTTTATCTGACTGTTCAGGTGAATTAGACATTTCTTTCCCCTATTAGTCTGTGGTTTAAAGCATCTCACCTGCGATACCTATCACTGCGGCTATCATATATCTCTCGTATTTCTCTTCCATATCTGTCCACTCGTAATCTGGAAAAACAAAAGACACTTTATTAAACATGACTAGTTGTTGATTATTATTACAACCTGCATAGGAGCTTTGTACAGTAGCAATAAAAAAATACCCCTGTCGCAGCAAACCTGCAGACTAAGCAGATTTCCATTTGCCTGATTGGATTTACAGTAAAATATCTCCTTAACACGTTTGCTACCGCAATAGTACAACATTTTTCATTCATATAGACCTGCGACGCATATATGCAACGGCTAGTCACATTAAAATAGACTGACGACACATATTTGCGTCGGTGTTCCAATGATATCAAAATGCTTATATCTTTGTAACGGTCTATTTGAAGGCACTGAATTCTCTGCAGTGGTCTATAGGGATGTTTGACGCACAACTGCGTCGCTTGGTCTGTGGATATAATGATTAGTGAACATTAAGTGAAATGAAGAAAGTAAGAGCTGTTGTTAAAGGACAGTAGAATAGAGCTGAGAGAATGCTAGAAGAATTGTCTGGTATTAAAGTTGATAGTATCAGAACAAGACTCTCAGTGATACATGAGTGCTTATTGGGACCGATTAGAGAAATCAGGGTGTCTACTACATTCTGGATAAAAGATTCATGGACAATTCCCGTACATTTAAGGACCTTTGTCGGTGTGATTACAGAATAACATTCCTGATTTGTCAAACTGTATTAATCTTGTTCTTCATTGTAGTTGTTCCAGAGAGAAAAGTAAATAATAATAAACAAGAATTAAATTTCAAAATAGAAACTTATTGAAAGTAAACAAACATATACTTTAGGTACAGCTTTTATAGTGTAACAGAAAAACGCAATCATTGTCTCCTGCAATAGCGACAAAATCCTAAATATCTCAATCGGTCACGGAAACATCATAACATAGTCATCCGACATGTCATCATTATAACATCTGATCCAGGCGGATTAATTTGGCATTATTCGCCCTGGCACAACGTTAGGTTCTCGACTACTTTTGAAAAAAAATCTTTAATGCATAAGCATAATGAATATATTGTAACTCGGTTCTAGGCACAAAATCAGTATGGTAAGCGGCTACCAGTAAGCACAGAGTAAGATTATTGTCTTTTCATCTGCAAAGTTAATATCGAGACATAGCAATCATTAGTTTATCTTAGGCTCAATTACATTTTCTTAGTATATTTTACAGCACTTTCAAAGAATCAAAATACCCAGGCCTAGGCCTAATTATTTAGGAGGGCCTATAAACTGAGTAACAAACAATGAGGTTATAATATCAGCAAAGTCACTACAATATCATCATTCTAGTTCATAAGATTTAGATTGCTTAAAGCATACAACGCAATAAATAAATATGGGAAATAAAAAAATTGAAACCTGACCGCCAATAATGTACAAAGATACAGAAAATGCAATGATATAATTTGTCTACGTAGTGATAAAAATTTAATGCAAACAACAATGCTTTTGGTTTTGTCAATTGAAAGATAAAATATCCATAAAAAAGGTTTAACTTACAAAATAAGACTGTAGATTAGTTACATGTTTTATATGAAACCATAAACAGTTTTATGGCACTAAGCAATGGCCAGCGACAAATTGAAGTACAAGTAAGAAGTGAAATTTAACAGCCATTATAAAATTATTATTTCCATGATAAAATATGTTTGGGATGTAATAATGATTACCCTAGTAATAAATAAATACTTGTAAAGGAATAAAAGTGATAAAACTTTTATGAGCTAAGCTACTACTGAGTCAACAGTTCTTGGAAGTACTTCACTTGACACTTGATTGTAAATTGAAGTACAAGTAAGAAGTGAAATTTAACAGCCATTATAAAATTATTATTTCCATGATAAAATATGTTTGGGATGTAATAATGATTACCCTAGTAATAAATAAATACGTTGTAAAGGAATAAAAGTGATAAAACTTTTATGAGCTAAGCTACTACTGAGTCAACAGTTCTTGGAAGTACTTCACTTGACACTTGATTGTCGTGATAAAATATTAATGGGTTTGAGACTTCTAATGGGGTTTTTATTGCATAATTACTCTAGTAATAAATTATGAAAATGTAAACAAACATCTGATAAACCTTTTATGTGCTCCTAACCAACTAGCGATCGATAAAATTATGGCCCAATAAAAATTTAAGGACATAGTCTGGCATTTAAGGACAATTCCCGTACATTTCATGGCCAGTAAAAAATTAAGTACAATTCCCGGTTTTCCCGGATTTCCCGGTTGGTAGACACCCTGGAAATCCAGCACAACATTGAAGTAAAAACAGATGAAGAAGAGCTTGACATTGAAACCACATACAGGACCAACATGGAGGATATGTATTTCAAAATAGTTGATGTATTACAACACGGCTTAAGTGAATTGGAAAGAGTCAATGGAACAGAAGGACTACAGCAGATCAGACCATACAACAATGATACTCGGAAATTGCGACCGCTTACATCAACAATTTTGTTCAATCCCTTCCAAGATGCTGAGACATTCAAAAACATTATAAGAAGTCTTCATTCACATACATGGGCAGGGAATGTATCCTACAGATGAGGTATACAAATTACTTCATGCTTAAGCCCTAGCTTACATCAGAATTTCAGAAGGTTTATGATTTATGTGCTCCAGAAGTACCTCTGGATTAATCATGTACAGAATTGGTGAGAATGTTGACAGATTATGTTGATCCAAAGAAAGCCAAGTACCAGTACTTGTGCTTTACAGCACAAATATAATACAAATAGAGTACAGGAACCCAATGAAACGGCTAAGACTTTTATTCCGTGGAATTGCAAAAACTTACATCTAATTGTGAGTCGTGCCTGAAATTAATTGCTAATACACTTTTGCGGATTCATTTCAGAAGGGGGTTGGTTGGTCAAAAATTTAAAAATATGGTTTCTACCTGTAGGGTGGCGGAGGACTGTGACCTCGACTGGTGTGTCGGGGACGACTACTGTTGTGGTAGTGAGAGCGAGAGTACGCATGAGGCGACCGACTGCGGTGTCCATATGAGGGTGAGCGTCTTGCATGACGTCGGTATCTGTAGCTGGGCGACCGGGACCGAGATCTGGACCAGTGACGGTTACTCGTCCCCTTGACATGGTGTCTGGAACTGCTACGATATCGGTATCTGCTTTTCCCATGCGACGACGCACTGGAGAGTGACGAAATTGAAGACAAACTTCTAGACCTAGTTCGCTTATGACCTGCAGACAGACAGAATTAATGCAGACAATAATAATAATGATGGTATTACAACCTCTGTATTACCAATTAATTTTCAAAATGGTGTTAATATCTAGTCATAGTAATCCGTTTAACCACAATATGCAGCTATTTTCGGTCCCAAATCCAGGTGTCCAAAAAATCAGGCTAAAAAATTCCTGTATATTCGATAAGGAATCTGAAAAGGTAAACAAACAAGGAAAAACGATATGACAATATAATTGTTTCAGGCCTTATTGAGTCACCCACTGTATTTGCACACGTGACCACTTTTTGTTGCTTTCTTATCTTTCATCCATCCCAAAATAGAATACCTAAAATAAATAGTTTATTGGTAGAATAAAAACGTATTTAAAAAAATCTTTCATCTTTCGAGCGTAATCTTGTGGTTATTCTTATCAGGTAGCATACTATCGTAACCAAATGTAACTGTTCCTCCTTCGCGTTACGCAATAGCGTCAAAAACAAAAGTTCCCTTTAGGCTATCTCAGACAAAATTCACGTGCATTTACCGGAGACAAAGAAAATCCGTATAATGCCCGATATTTTTAAAAATTTCCCTCTGCGGACACCCTGCAAATCTGAGCCATCTTCAGGCTTTACCTGGACATTCAACTAATTTATTTCCAAATCCGTTGAAATGTAGTGTGTCAGTGAACGCAAATGTACTGCATCAGTTATTTTTTCAATTGATTGTCTTTGGTAGAAGACAACTAAAACAGGATGTCCATGTATAGCTTAAAGATGGCTCCGATTTGAAGCCCAACCAAGATGCTGAATGCAATTTAATGGGATTACCATTCATAGGTATTTACACAGTTTTTGATAATATTGATTCTTCAAAATTAAATGAATTAGGAGTAAAACAGATCTAGGAACTTGTTGTATGATCAAAACCACAAAAACACTAGTTAAGAAATGTGTCTAGGATTATCATACCTGGAGGTTTAGTTTTATGAGTAACATTGACAATCTCAACATCGGGACTACTATTCCGGCCATCCTCGTCTCTAGACCTTATTTGTTTCTTGTCAACATTGATGCGGTTGTTCTTGTTAAATGTGCTAGAAAAACAAGTAGTAATAAATAAATGTAAAAAAATGGATAGTAATTAATTATTTACACACACAAAAATATGTTAAACTTAAATTTTGGTTTAATATTTAATGAATTGATAAACATAAGTTTATGATAGGTTAGGAAGAAAATAAGCTAAGCGAAAACTGAGCAAAGCACTATATTTCCAATGTAAGAAGTTTCTGGAGTAGTCTAGTAAAATTATGATTTGACCTGGGCAAAATTGCTTCATAAGCGATTGAAGTGGTATTCTACTCAACAAATGTCGCTTTACAACATATCCAAAATCCGACAAAATCCATCCATGGGAAAGTGACTAAAATCAGAATTTAAAATGGTGGCTTTTCCCAACATTGGACAAATTAAAAAAAAAACATATTTCACATGCATTTGTTATGCACATTTTTCGAGATATTGACTTAGGACCACCGCCTGTATTAAATATTTTATAAATATATTATAAATATATTGTATAAATACATTTTAATGTTAAATTAAGAACCATGACTCATTTTAAAATTGTCAGATTTTGTTTAACCCTTTGAGCCCCAAGTGCCGATTTATCGGCATGTCAATATTGTGCTGAAAATGACACAGTGCCGATAAATCGGCACCCCAAGGTCATGAGCAGAAAGACAATATGCCGATATATCGGCCATCTACTATTTTATATAGTACAGCGCTATTTTAACGTATTTTGTGTATCAGAAAACGTCATTGCGTAGCCAAAGCATAAATAAAATATATTACAAGTAATATTTTGTCAATTTTTATTTTATATAGTATTTGTTATTGTTTCTAAAACGATATCGGCAGGCTGTGTCGTCTGTATCGCTCAGCTGTCTCACGAGTCAGCAACTCTGTTGTTTGTTGTTGTTTGTTATTTGAGTAACTGCCGGTGTTTGTTGTTGTTTTGTTACGTGGATACCGTAATTTTTACTACAGATTGGTGTTGTTTGAAGTTAATTTCAAAAGTTTTATTATTCTTTTAGTGAGTTTATCAAAACATCATAATGGTAATCAACTATGAACTTACGTCTGTAACTGCATAATTATTTGGGTGCATGCTATAGCCCTTGCATGGACATGGAAACCTATTTTCATAACTAACTAACTAACTTAGGCCTAGTTCCTTTCTATAAGTTCTTTATCCTTTATTTCTTGCATGTTGACTGTTTTTATTTGTCTCAAATATGAGTAAAAAAAGAACTAGGGCAGAATCTCCTGTTAGTGAAAACACTCTGTTGTGTAACATTCAAGAAGCAGGTTTGAATGTATATTCTGCCGACAAGAACAGTGATGACTCTGACTTCAGTGACAATATTGCAAGTTCTGATGCTGATTCATCCTCCTCAGAACTAGTTGACGACACGGATGAAGACCCGACATATAGCCCGGAAAATAGTGGTAGGCCTAGACTAGGTTTTTTGCAAAGACCGATCAGATCACCTCATATGTTTTCCTCTGATGAAGAAGACATTGATGATGTCCTTCCTCTGGCAGATTTGCCTCCAGAAGTAATTGATTTTAATTTAGGCCAACCATCAACTAGCAGTGACAATAGATTTGGCCTAGATATGCCTACAGAAGAAGCTAGACCTACTGATGCTATACCAGATTTGCCAACAGATACCGGTACTCAAACTGCTAGGGATTGTGCTAGGCCTAGGCCTAGAGGCAGGGGTTCACACAGAGGGAGAGGAAGAAGTCAGACTCAAGCAAATCGTAGTAGGCGAAGACCTGTTGAACCTGAGTCCAGTGACTGGGATGAACTCGAGGAGGATAATGATCCGGGTTACCAGCACAACTTCACTTTCAATGAAGTCCCAGGTCCTAAGCATTGCCCACCCAGAAACTCCTCGCCAATTACCAATTTCTCTCTGTTTTTTACTACTGAATTGATAGCAAAATTTGTAGTAGAGACAAACAGATACGCTACAAATTTCTTGCGATCTGCTGAACATGGCTTGTCACCTCAGAGTACATTGAGATCTTGGGTAAATTTAACCTCTGAGGAGTTCAAAGGCTTCCTTGCTGTTATTATAAACATGGGCATAATCCGGAAGCCTTCAATCAGAAGCTATTGGAGCCAGCCATCGTCCCTGTCCACTCCTTGGTTTGCAAAAATGTTTTCTCGAACACGGTTTGAACTTATCTTAAAATTTTTTCATTTGGTTGATGGCAGCAAACTTGTGAAACATGGTGAACCGGGCTATGACCCATGCGGAAGATTTCAACCACTCATCGACCATCTGAACCGGTTAGCCAAGTTTTACTATGTACCCTACCAGAAACTATCTGTCGACGAGTCGTTAGTGGGGACAAAAAAGCGGATTGGCTTGACCCAATACCTCCCAAAAAAAAAACATCACAGGTGGGGAGTGAAGCTGTGGGTACTGTGTGACGCGCTAACCCATTACTGCATGGCACTTTTTTGCTACAAAGGTGCCAAATACAGAGAAAATGATGAAGAAACCACTGAGCATGGCCTGGCATTCTCTGTAGTCAACAAACTAATGAACATCGCCAACTGTTTGAACAAAGGCTTTCATCTATTTTTGGATAATTTTTTCACTACTCTTCGCCTGGCTAGATACTTATATTCTAAATTAACTTGGCTTACAGGAACTGTTAGAGTTGACAGAGTAGGTGTGCGCACTGTGCTACGGGGGAAATATGCTGTTGGACAAAAAAAATACATTCGAAAAGGACCCGCCTTGTACATGGCCTACCGCGAGAAACCGACCAACAAATCTCAGTTTATTCTGCTATCAACCGATAGCAAGGCAGAAAATGTAAGATATACAAAAATGAGAAGTAGGAAAGTAATTGTAAAGACTAAGCCTAGAATAGTCCATCAGCACAACAATGGCATGGGGGGCATAGATGGTACTGATCAAATGTTGTACACTTACCTTGATGAGCGACGTTCGATGAAACCTTGGAAGAAAGTGATTTTTAACATATTTGGCCGCATGATGCTAAATGCATATGTTTTGTACAAACTTAACACCGAAAAACCAATGAGCCGTGCCTCTTTTATCACAGCTGTGGTGGATGAACTAGCAAATTCTTGGTTCGAAAAGAAATACGGAGTTGCCGGTAGAGGTGGGGGTGACGCAACAGTTGGAAAAGGGTTTGGGTTGGAAAAAGTTCCTGATAACAAGGAAAAGAACTGTTCTGTATGCAGTGGAAAAAAAAACCCAGATGGAAAAAGGAGAAGAGCGCGCACTATGTGTTGCTTTTGTAAAGCAGGACTGCATGCGGAGTGCTACAATCGCCACAAATGCAACTAAACGTTAACATTTGGATTTGTAAATACTGTAAATAGCCTTTTTTAATAATTTTATAAACTAGTGTTAGTTGAATACTATTTTCTTCTTTTCTGAGGTCTTTCTCTGATACAGCACATAACAATTTTTAAGACATTATGTGAGTTATCGGTGTTATTTCCATTTACAAACTAAAACTTTTGGTGTTACGGAACATAGTGAAAAAAACTTTTTGGTGAGTAAAACAAAATATTTGTATCAGATATATTGTTAAGATTCTTAGTCTTAGGTCTGTTCCATTAGTTTCTTTCAATTTGATATGCATCTCCTACATTGATACTTGTATACTATAATAAAACATGTTTGTTGCGGTAACTAGGCCGATAACGGATATTGAAGTATTTATCATAATATACCATAAGTTGGTCATTTATAAATATTTTTGCACCAAATCTTTAGGTATTATTTAGAAATGTATAGTGACTAATAAAAATGCAATAGGATGTGCCTCCTCACTTATTCACTTATTTTTTATACATCTCAAAATAAAAAATTAAAAAAAGTTTTTATTTTTTTATTTTATTTTTTTATTTTTGTCAACTAAAATTTTTATTTTTTATTTTTATTTTTATGCCAAATTGTTGCCATAGCAGTAAGCTAAAAAATAATGCCAAAATAATTTTTCTATCTCAATATTAAATAAAGTTATAAACAAATTAATACAATGCTGTAAAAACCGCCTATTTTGGCCTGTCATTCCCAGTACTGACCATGCAGTATAGGCATGTCACCTCCAAAAAAATCGCAAAAATTTTTTTGGGGCCCAAAGGGTTAATGATCAATAAAATTAAAGCCAAACATTTACTGAGTAATTTGAGACCAGAAATACCTTTGTGACGTATTAACAACCCGAGTTATAAATCTTTTAATAAAAATATATTTCTAAAAAGTTAAATTTAATATTGTTCTGAGGTTCGTCGCTGGTCTTCAACTCGTCTGATTTTAATGATCAAGAGCTCAAATGAAAGCCCTTATATTACTGAATATTTTAAGCCTAGAACGAACTACAAGCGTCAATAAGAACTGGAGATACAAGAAACATAATGTTAAAACAATTATCAAACTACGAAACGTCCATAAGAAATGTATGGTGGAGAGTTGAACAACTAAGGTCCACAATAGTCTTTTCATAAAAACATGGATCTTAAAAATAATAAGACAACACAAATGTTTAACAAAATGCTTACATTCCAGATGATTCTGTGTTCTCGTTTGATTTTGGCACTGTAATACTCTGCATTGTAACAGGCGGTGCAGCAATCACTTCTGCAATCAATAAATGAAGAGATTGAGTAAAACCAGGACAATAGATTTTAAAATTCAAGAACAGTACTGTTAAATAACAGTAGTATTTATCTATATTTTAACATATATGGTTTTTAGGAAAAACAATTTCTCGTTCGATATATAAATAGAGTAGAACAACTAATATCTGACAGGGATGGAATAATACTATTAGGGTCAGACGAACAAAAAATATTCAAACGGGTCTATTTCATAATCGTCAAGGGCATAAACTAATCCCATAATGTTCAAAAAGCACTATTTTGTAAAAGTTTCATGACATCCAAAACTAAATTAACACGTTTGCTGCGGGCTACTATAATTGTTGTACCTGAATACTAGCACTCCAGGTAGTCTACTATAAATGTAGCACTACTGCGCCCCACCCCCCTCACTACCATTGCCTCGGTGTGAGCCCAGCATGTGATGGGGAACGTTGTTATTGTTGCCGCATGTAGTGCCAGTTTTGTATGTTTTTTTTTGTGCTATTCTTTTTTGGATCGGTTATTTTTGTATCTTACTGTGTCAGTCCGTTTTGAACAGTGTAGTATGGGCTTTTGGCTAAGATTTAATGACATGCAAGAAGGTAACGACACAGAAAACATACTACTATAACCCAGAATGCCAACAGCATGGTAAAAAGCATTAAGTACTTTGAGAGAGCTTTGCCTGTCACTTTGTAGGCAGTGCCACCAGCGTTGCTATGCTGAGTGCATAGTGCTGGTGGCGCTGCCTACGAATTGACAGGCAAAGCTCTCTCAAAGTACTTAATGCATTTTACCATGCGGTTGGCATTCTGGGTTATCGTAGTATGTTTTCTGTGGTAACAATAATGACTGTAGTGTGCAGTGTAGTGTAACATTGTAAAAGGAACCTAACCTCAAAATTGGGCTTGACGCCTTTTTGCGGTATTTTTTATGGTGTACCCAGGTAACTTCTCTTTTTTCCCCTCCATTTGTCAATACTGAGCACTTCTGTTTTAGTGCGGTTATCTGTTGGTTTCTTGTAAAATTATGTCCACAACAACTGAAACGCAGTACATGCTATAATATGCCTCTTCTATTGGATGAAACTAAATCGAAACATTTTCGCACACTCATCCACACTGCCCGGCCGCGGTTGTCATGACGCAACCACAGCAAATGTGTTAAGGAGCGTTATAATGCCAAGACCATCAACTGGTCCCACAGTGGTTAAAAAAACAACTTTATAAAACTGCAGTAAGACAGCTCTTATTGACGGAGTGCTCCAAAGTTTGAGACTCTACTCCATGCCCATAAGACTTAACAATGATCATATATCAGTCCCTAACCGAACAATAAACACATGGTACAAAATTATGTAGTACAAAACATGCAATAGATCTCCTAAAAAACTTACCATCACTCTTGGCATAGAAATTATGGCCTTGCATGAATCAGGCAATGATGTCAGAGAATATTGGAGATAATAAACCGTATTTACAGATCCAAACAAACATTAAACTGGGAAACTTAAACCAAATGTTACATTGAACTTAATATATTATCCGTTTGCCGATTTAAATTTGTGTGCATTACAACAGACTTATCGGGTGACTCTGACTACCATCAACAGATAGTTATCTCTGTTTTGTTAAGGAAAAGGTACTTGCCTATGATTGGGATTTTTAGAACAAAGGTGTGGCAGCTGGCTCACCTAAGAAAGGAGTGAGCCCCAGGAAGACCATTGTATTTGTCCCCTGAGGGACTTGGTGTAGACAAAGAGAATTGACCAAATGGGTCAGATTTGTTCAACTTGTTATGTCTACAATTGATGAAGTCCCTCAGGAGGAGCTGTTATCCCTTAATTCTAAAAATGTATTTACCTTTGTTCTTCTTGTTAAGGTTCTCAGCTGTTGCCTTCTCATCAAACAATTCACCATCAAGTTCCCTGTAAAATTGAACAAAAAGTTAAAATGTTATATCAACTTGTGCACAAATTAAATGCTCATTACTTTGATTTGCATAACTAATAAACATATTTTGGGTGGAGTCCAAACTCTGCATTGCTTGTAGCACAAGTTTTAGAATGTTACAAGGTTGAAAAATTACTGCACACCCAGAAGAATAGTGGACTCTCGATTAGCTGAGATAATGAGTGGGTGAGTGATTGTAGACAACGCAAACTTGACCTAAACCAAACACTGACTTTGAATTTATAGTTAAGCTTGAATACAGGTTTAGGTAAATAATAAAACATATTTAAACATTGAAGGTCTAAATACCTTTTACCTTTGTTTCATATGTATCTATTTGTAAAATAAATGAAATAAATATGAATAAGCCTAGTAATACCAAAAACTAAAACACACTCAAAGTGTTATCAGTGACACATCGGTGGTCGGTTAAGTAAAGAACGGCAACTCTACAGTCTGCCCACAAGATAATGGGCCTCCTCACGCTAAATATATTAGCTGTCACTGTATAACGTCCATTTAACTTGCTTAGTTTATTTATTTATTTAGATTTAATTGCGATCATGGTTAACCCGCAGTGTGATTTCACTTGTAGATAATCTGGAATCTACTGACTCTTTTTTATTCATAGAATCATTCAACATTGATCTAAATCATTACCAAGCAACTTAAACCCACAAAGTCATTATCACCCAACAACAAAATACAGAGACATAACTTAAACAGTACAAATACTAACCTGAAATGAGGCCCTTCATAAGATGTCTTATGCAGTTCATTCTTCCGATCTTGAAAATAAAATTCTTGGTACTTAACAGTCTTGGGCTTCATACGACCAAACTTCTCCTCAATATCTTTTATGATATCAGTGACAAGCAGACCGAAGGCTTTCCTCATATCTTTCTTTTGAGGTAATGCCTGCAATTTTCTTGCGACAGTAGGAAAGTACATGCTCTGGAAATATAGTAAGAATAAAAACTAGGCTTATCATGTATGTTTTATCGTTGCTGAGGCCAAGCCTTTAAATGAGGACGAGGAGAAAAATAGAAAAAGTCTTTGAACGCACTCCGTCCGGAATTTTTCTTATTTTTAAGTGTAAAAATGTTTATAAATCATTTTAACCACTGGTTCATACAAATTTGAAAAATTTGAAATACCTCAAAAGCACACACACGTCTTTTTTAAATATCATTATAAAAAAAATATTCAACGAGCCTGGCACAAGGAAAAAGAAAACTTCAGTCCTGACTAAATAAAATGCACAGAAGCACAGTTGTTCAGAATAAAATTGAAAGCAGATAATAGATTTCATAATTTTACCCAAATCTTACTGGAGCAGTAGAAAAGCTGTAGCTGACCTATCACATTCCAATGAAATAGAAATTTGGCAAAACTGTTATAAATAACCACTTTCTATACCTATACTTTGAATTTTTTTATTAGGCTATACATATATTCTTATTGTCCCATTGATTATAGAAATACCACATTTTGTTGTCTTGTTTCTTGTGTTGTGCCAATATATCTTATTCAAATAAATCTGCTTATCCCAAAAAAATCCTTGTGCAAATAATTGTTGTTTAAAACTGTGCAATGTCTAAACTTTGAGAAGCATTTAGCTGTTACACCTACCAGATATTTCATGTAGTGGAATATGCTGGTGAAGTGAATGAACATGTTGCGTTCGCTGCCGGTCTTCTCACACAACAGACAGTAGTAGTATTCGGTCTCGTCCAGCGTTGACTCTGTCAATTCTACCATAAACTCTAGACCAATCAATGGTGCTTTGTATGCATCCAACTTGGGTTGGATCAGCGCATTCTTTATAATAACTTCTTCCAATCCGGGTGGCACTGGCTCACCAGGTTCCAGCGAAAGGTTTTCTGCAAAGTTACAAAAATTGGTGTTGTGTTTAGTACTATCATTGACTTTTGGATCCCATCTATATGGACCAGTTACAGCCAATTTGTTATTCAAATATGCATAATTGGATGAACCACTCACAGATTGTGGTGCTGTGAACATTCTTAGAGGCAAATTTGGTAAAACTACTAAAATCCATAGGTGGCAGGGTAACATTTAGGCTCGGGACCAATTTTCTTTTTGTTATGGCCCCCGGTGGACAAAAACAGAATTTGTCCGTGAACGTGAGAACTCAAGCATACGTGATCCTATTTCAACTAAATTTAACATGATTGGTTAAGGGGTGCATTAACTTTCATGTGTTCGCAAACCAGCAAAAGGTCATGGAAACAGGGTGGTATAGGGTTTTTATTTAAAATTAAATTTGTAAATGGTCATAAATTGTAACCACCCCTTAAAGTTCAAAATTCCCTAAAACCAAAAATCTGCTGTTTAGCCTACAACTGTATGGTTACCTTTAGGATCAAGTTTGATGAACTTGGCGCAGGGGTGAGTTGGTCTACTCATGTTGGCTCGGTGTCTGCCGGAGTCTGAGTGTTGGCGCAACGCCGACAGTCCCGCGACAGTTTCCGAGCACACATGACAAGTGTACCACACACCTTCCTTCTTGCGCACCACAGAGAACACATCAGCCTGCTGACCATTGTCCAGCTTCACTCTCTCAGACAACAGTGTTCTCTCATCTGCATTCTGGAAACCATATAACAAGCATTAAAAAAAAATTACTAAGGTTTATACTCAAACAAACTGTTCCAATATACTACTTTATAAAAAATTAGCGTTAATGTACCGTACCTTAAAGAAATATACCCCTAAAAACCTGCCATGATACTCATTGTAGATTCTTTTTCTGCATTACCTTTAGGTGAGTAGGGATGATATTCCTTAATTATAATTCCAGCAGTATCAAGGAAAAATTCTTTATTTCTTAAGGTATTAATAAATAACCCAAACCTACTATATTTGCAGTATACGGCCATTTTATCAGTTAATGTAGTACAACTAATAATTGTTATCATGTGCATACAAAATCACTTGTTTGTCTTCTAGGTTAGATTATAATTAGTATCAAAATGTAGGCGAAACTACAACTGACTCCATAATTTGATACTTACGGTCCTGTGAAGGTGTCAAATCAACAAAAGCGTAGATTTACAAAAATAATATTTAAGTTAACCTAAAAGTTTAGAAAAGTAATCTTATATGATGTGTTTAAAACACTCTTTGGTGATTAGGAGTTGAAACTTAAATCAATATAGACAAGGAGGAAGGGTTATAAAACACATCCCAAGTGAAGTGTGACTCCAGTCACAATGAGGATCAATAATAATGTACATACATCAACGGATGACTCATTTAGCGCTTTGTCGGATAACCGGCTGAGTCGCACAATTGGTTAAGATGGTAATGAGGTGTAACCTACTAACTTGGTTTACCGCCAAAAGTTAAAATAAAAACCACATTATGTAAGACAATATAAGTGTATAATAAAGATAATATACAAGGGGAACAAGATGTTTAATTTGATTAGGCTTAACATCACGAAGGCAGACCAAAGAGTTACCGTTGTTTACCTCTCCGACCACAAATAAGTACAGATAACAGGCAATCAGTTAATAAGTAACAAATTGTGTTTCAATTTTTTATATTTTGTACTATGCCTACATATAGGTTCTTTGTGTTGCCCTTACTGAATAAAAATTCATATTTCCAAAAATTCACTATTTTCAAAGCAACCCAATTTTAGCCACAGACTCCAAGTTAATATTCCTTACCCGACCCGACGTAAAAAAGTATTGTTTGAAAACTCCTGATGCTTAGTGACCAAAAAAATACAAATATGCACTTACTAAGTAAACTATATAATTCCATTGTTTTGATTATCAAAGAAACAAGTAAATAAAGTTCGGCAAAATTACAAAACCTAAATAATTTATAGCCTAAATTACACAAATGGCACAGAAATCATCAAATACCACACAAGCAAATGTATATTTCTTCAGGAAGATTTTGAATTATTTTATACCCGTTGCCGAAAGTCTACAAACATTCAGCTTTCGGGGCCAAGACGATGGATTCGTTGTCTGACCGTGAGACCAGTGATAACTCCAATATGATGGGACTAATCTCACGCCATTGTCACGTCCCGCAACATAAAACAATGATCAGGCTTATCACATCGTATATGCTTATTGGTTTCCATATTTCATATTAAAAGGCAATCACGATTTTCTTAGATGTTTTTCATTATTAGAAAATAAAAACTCGCTTCAGATGTCCACTTAAGAGGAAAACTTTTAAACTAAGAACGCTTCAGATGTCCACTTGAAAGGAAAACTTTTAAACTAAGAACTATTAACAGTCAACAACTGCAACCAACAGAAAACTTCAACATTGATACCTGTGAAGGGGATGCACTGTTTAGTTTCTATAGCAAAAAATAAGTAATATAGGAAAACTAGAATAGGCCTTTGAAAATTAAAAAAGTTACCTTTAATTCCAATAAACATAATCTAAATCAAAAGCACGTAGTTAAATTATAAATATTATTTGATAGACATATTATTTAAAGCTTATTTGGGTTTAACATTTAAGTTATACTTACTCAATTTTTCACTGTGACCAATAATACACTAACTACTATTATATAGCCTAGGTAAATGATCACAAACAGTTTTAACATATTTAAATATGTAAGAAAATATTTTTAAATGTAGGATAATTTTCATCAACAATATCGCGCTAAGAATAGAATTAAGAACAAACTAAATTCTCCGTTAAAGTTGCATAGCTTAAATATAGTGTTTAACCACTTACACTAGGCTCATAAGTGATTAATTTACTGTTCACGAAATTGATTACAAATCTATACTTACCTTGAAATAAAAAAACAACTGTTCTGAACACCCATCTGTTATCTTATTATATGATACATGATTTTTTTCACATCTGAGCTGTTATGAATATGGTAGACATACTATGAATCTCTTTTAAACTAGAGTAACTAAGGATTCATCGTTGTAACAATATAACACTTTCAAAGTTATTAGAATTTGGAAAAGCGGATCTTATTACATCCACCTTCCCAAAACCAAAAGCTCATTCCTGGTTTATTGGTGTTATTATATGACTCGGGTGAAAAGCCTAGAAAGAAGTTTTTTGCAATAACAAAGCGTTATTTTAATTTTTCCTACCATTAAAATTATTCAAGGAAAGAAACTGATAAATAACATTTTTTTAGTTTCAATTTGTAAAATAGGCCTATATAATTATACAATATTGTAAACCAACAGTATCATTATAGGGTTCATCACCTTAAAACTCAGGATACCTACACCTAGTTGATGGTGAAAATATAGGTTGTTTTGGATACTCTATATTTTTTGTATCAGTGAATGGTTGGAATTTAATGTTTTTTTTTGTTTTAAGATACCTACAACAGAGTTAAAAGTCTTTACTGTAGCTATTGCAATAAAATGTATATGAATAAAAAAAGAGTTATCATCAAATAGTTAGTGCCCACTGTGTCAATGTCTCAGTTCAAGCCAGACAAAATATGGCAGACAACCTGCGTTGACTAGCTAATTTTCCAATTTATTTGAACTGTTAATTTATATGTATTCAGTCCAGTTGTAAGGGGTACGGTTAAAAGGAGTTTTACTGATACCTCTTTTTAAATGATTTTAGGATTTTTCTGAGGATAGCATGACCTTGCACTCTATTTTACATCCTTAACCTATTTTAAAATGTGTTAACATTTAATGAGCTGAATGCATTATTGTCAACCAATCAATTAATCAAACAATTTATTTAACACAATAATTTCCATTAAATATTTTACTACAATGATCAAATGGTTTGTCTGCACTTTTAATACTATTTATACATTATACAGTTCTAAAGATTTGCTCAGTAGCATGCAGTTTTATTTATCTTTCACACTGCCTCTCAAGCAATTAATAATAATTAAAATATATACGTTATGATAAATATCACTGTAAAAGGAAAACTTAATTTTTAGCCTGTTACTTCAAGCCTCTCGTTCTCTCTGGTGAATAGAATTGACCAATCAGAGAGCAAGAGTTTAACGACGTCATGTGCCCCCCTTTTAGCCTCCATTCTATCAAGAGACACCCTCAACCTCTGACCGGACGTCCAAGTTGACGTCTACGATGACGCCTGTGATGGCGGTTGTACAAACCCTGTCCTGAAGGCTGCGAGCAATTTTTATTTTTTTTATTTTTTAGTTGCCTAATACAACAATACCAGGAACAGATGATGACACCCGACATTCGGCATTGGAGACCTTGTTGCAGAACTATGAAAGACTGGCTGCAGCGCTTCTTATACCATTATCATTAGTCTTAAGCTAATAACTGACGTCGAGGTCCAAATGTCAACGCTTCTGCTCGCCTCGCGTCCCAGCTCCCCATTGGTACTTTTTATCCAATATCAATCGCAAACCCATCACTGCCATCAGAGGATTGGGGCCTGAAGGGTTGGGGTGTCTCGCGATACCAGTCTGATTGGCCACAGGAGGGGCTGGGCGACAAGACAAAATCCTGTTCTCTGATTGGTTAAGTCTATTCCCATAATTTCCTTTGTAATTTCTATGTTCACCCAAATACTACTATCATGCATTATAAATTTGATTGTCAATAAATTAAGTAACTGATTTGATCCAATTTTATTTTCATATGCAAAATAAATGGCTGCGTAAGTTAGCTAGGTGGTTATAGTGCTCGCCTGACAATCTGAGAGTGTTCTATCCTGAGAAAAAAATTGAAGGTTTTTTGATGGTTAGAAACTAGACTAGAAGAAGCTATTTGACCTCCATTATCATTATCAGATTTTTAACTAGTTTAATAGTTCTGACTAAAGAAACAGGTGCTTTTAGTCAGTAAAATAGCTACACAGGCCATCTCACGCCATTCCACTCTCACATTGCATCCACACGCACGATCAGTGAAAACAATGGAAATTATTGAAAGTATTTTTGGGTTTATTTTTTTAATATAGGCTACAGCATTAGATCAGAAATTACCAGTGTAAGTTTAGGAAAAAATATCAAATTTACCAAAGAGATAATTATAAACATTTGTAATCATAGTTAAAAAGTTACATTCTTGATAAATGAATGCTGTGTAAACTTGCACTAACACGTTTAATGTAACGGTGACAAAACAAATTGGGTAATGGTTTTAGAAAAAGGGAAGTCACAGGCTTGTATATATTACAAAATTAACCTATACAAAAGTACCTTAGGCAGTTCTTTCTTCGATGAGTGTTTTTCTTCTTCATCAGCATTCCATTCATCAACGACTCTCCCTTCGATGTCAAGATCATCAAAGTCGTATGAACTACCGATAACATTAGTGTAGCCTTCCATCACTTATTAACTGTCAAACTTATAATTTTCTTCGCTTTTCTTCATTTTACACTGAAAACACTGTCACAAGAATTTTGGATTAACTACCAAAGTCAGTTGATGGTATAAAGTTTTAATTGAAATTACAGTGAAAACATGAATACATACAACTCCAACTATAGGTTTCTAAATGTTAAACATTATACTTCTCTAAACATACTCACATCTGATGAGTTGAAATCTTCAAAAGATGATTTCATCGTAACAAATCCAAACTAATTAGGTACAATGATAAACAAGTGGAAAAACTAAAAAAAATTACAAAGGAATTTATTTGTAACAGGTTATTTTAAAAATATCCATCTTCTATCTTTTTAATTTTTTTATTTGTTTCAATCTAATAATACAATACTCACACATGATGTTCTACTAGTTCAAGCCTGGAAGGTTAAAGAGCTCAAAAACATTTAATTTTATTGACAGGTCTTTCACAGCCTGTTATGAATAGTTGATGAAAAAATCCTCTATCGCCTGATGTAAACTATTAACAAGCAAGCTGAATCCAGAAATTACAACTGTGACCCAAGTCAACTTGTAGATGCTTGAAGATTGATCACAAATTATTAATACGCCTATCTTGGTTACACTTCTTTGCTGTGCATGGTCTGTAGGCCTACAGAAGATGTAGCTTTTTTCTGCTTATGCAAACAAAGTTTTGATCTGAACTACCATCCCCCAATGTTTCCAACCTAATTTATTAAATGAATTTATAATGAGAAATAGTAAAATTGTGGCTTTATAGGGTAAAAACAGTTTTAGTTTACATTTTTTTTAACAAATTAATTGCAACCAAATAAAAAATGAACACACAAAATTGAATATCGCATCTGCCTACGAGTAGTTTAATATACAAGGTCCTCAAAAAGTCTGGGAATGACATTGGATCATTTCACTTTGAACCATTGCCAAAAGTGCAGCTTATCTTTGAATATAGGCCTAAGTAAGTACACTAGTTACAATAACTAAAAATTTACTTTTTGTAGCAAACGTCAATATGACCCGGATCTGGTTAGCGAGAAATTGGAAGGAAATCTTAAATAAGAGAATAGGTTGAGGAGATCATTAAATTTAAGGTCTCTATTAGAAAAAAAAATAGTAGTCCAACCACAAACCCAACCTTGAAAAGGTTATCCTAGGCGGCAATGTAAAATTACCGTAAGACGAGGTGCCCGGGGTGACTTGAACACAAAATAGGAAAAAAAGTTAAATATCTTTGTAATTCAAATATGGAAGGGACTAGGAACACTTTTGCACCATCAAAGTTATCACTTGGCTTTGTAGTTGTATATATATAATTATAAACATATTTTTAAAAACCCTTGACCATAAAAAAATAATTATAGGAAACACGTCCGAAGGCCAATTTTTCTTCTTTCGTAAATTTAACCTAGACACAATACAGATTATAATACATATTAACTGTTTAATAATTTATGTCATTTAAGTACACTTTCCTTAACAAGAAATTACTAATCTCATTCTCTCATCTTATCAGGTAATGGAGATATATTTTTTTTTTGTGGCTACTACCACTTTCTCCCAGTTTGGGGGTGACATGAACACAATTGTTTTGGTTCAGTATTAAGGTACCGTGACACTGCAAAATGGACCTAAAACACGAGTGGGGATGAATATAACTCATGCACACTTCCAACAGGATGGAAGTGTGCCAGAAAAAATAGACTGTTGCCGGGTATAACCTAGACGTGAAAGAAATCATTCCCGTTCCTGTTCTGGTTAACACGAGAAGTGTCGTGCATGTGCCGAATATCACTAAATGGCGCCAGAAGCAAAACAAAAACTAAAAACCTAAGGGAAAGATCCTTGTGTAAATATTGTACAAAGAAAGTTCATAATTTACTTTAGTTTTAAGATTTTACAATAATTATCAATTTAAGACCAAAAATACTCGACCCGTGGCCAGGTGGAAAATACTTAAAATGAAAATAAAAATGTGTTTAATTTTTTGTATGAAACTACAAATCTTCCACATCATTTTAAGGTAAGGAAATATGTTTTACTACTAAAAAACAAGTTTGTGATGATTTTTTTTAAGTTTCTTGGGAGAATTAGTGTTTTCCAAACAATAATTGATCATAACTCATGTAAAATAATTTTTTAAATAGGTTAAATAATATCATTTGAAAGCTCTTGTACAGTGTATTCAAGTAACCCCAAGGTTGTACAATAATGCAATACACATAATAATAACATTGAAAAAAATATGCTGTGTTCAAGTCACACCGACCCACGAGGTGACTTGAACCGATAGGAATATATTTTTCAACAAACAAAATATAATTAATAAGTTAACAAATTTGAAATATTGTAAATGTAATCTCCTAGATGAGTCCATAGAGCCTATATCTAAAAACAATTGAAAATTTATAAATATTTTAGAAAATATTCATATCAGAAGTTGAAAAGTGTGTTCAAGTTACCCCGCTTTACAGTACAAATTTCATTTCAGATATTGAAAAAATGCCTAAGGTGTTCGCCATTCCCCTACTCTCCCACATTTTATGCTCCTATAATAACACTCTTTTTATAGGCACATCTTAAATGTTCATGACCAATGCATTTAACGAACAATGTAGGTTTGTAAGTTACAATTTCAACTCCGTCAAAACTGAATAGGCTATTTTTAAGACAATTAACTCCAACCTAAGTAAAATAATTATGTACTGACTGTTTTCAATTGTCTTAACCATTTACAAAACCAAAACTTTAACAGGCTAGTTAGACAAACTTACAACTTTTTACAATTGTCCAACATGCCTAAATTTTTTCATCTTTAAGATAAGTTAAGACTAGGCCGACTATTTAAATTAGATAACTTACCTGCTACATGCTTATCATCACAACTTGATTTGATTCCCAACGAAAAGAACACAACTGATCTTTTAATAAACGTTACACAGTTAATTATTTATCCTAGTTCAACTTAAACATAACTTACCTACCTAATGTTAAATTATTTGTAGACAAAATTAAAACCTGCGCAAACTTATAACTTAGACCTAAGTTAGGCTATTGTAAATTGTAGACTTACAGTAAGTTACCATTTGGTGGGCCCAAGTTTAGTTCCATAATTGGTACCTTAGTGTGTAGGCCTAAGAATACAGATTTGTAACTGAACTAAGTAAGTTAGGTTAGTATCGATTTAAAATATCGATTCGATTACTTAGTAAACCTTCATTCGATTTTTTAATGGATGGGCGGGTCCCAATATATTGGGGGAAAAAATAGGCCTATTCCCGACTTTCAGAACGGGATTTAGGCCTACATATGATTCGGGAATTTCTCGGGAAGGTTTTTGATACGATGGTTGGCGATTTTGCCACTTTGCAAGTGACTATTACACCGCTATCACGAGAGATGTTCACGCGAACGCAGGAGGTGAAGTCATTTAAACGATCACGCCGTGACTGCGAGTCATTTCAAGAATCACCCCATGACCACGGAGTCATACCGACAATCACGCCGTGACCACGGAATCATACCGACTATCATGACGTGACCACACAGAGTCATAACACTGACAATCGCGCCATGACCGTGAGTCATTTCAACGAGCGGAGTCATACAGACGATCACACTATTATGATGGCGAGCCATTTCAACAAATGTGTCGTGACCGCGAGTCACAAGTTTCTGCAAACTCCGGCCTACCCGTAAATTTTTACCCATTTTATTTTTGTTTTTATAGGCCTAGATCAGTGCCATAAACAGTAAAAATGGATTTTGTTTGTCTTTCATGGTAGATAACTGCAATCATCAAGACTTAAGTTAAAACAAACGCTTTTTAGGCGCAGGAAAAGTCCTGTCCCATCCCATCCCAAAAATCGGGAAGGAAATAACTTAATAATACCGTCCCAAACTAAATTATAAAACTTTTCCTTCCTTTTCGCTTCCAGTTTGGAGGCTGATAGGCGAGTGGCAGCAGAGGAACGTGACGCTCTATAACATTTCACTGTTGGTGCTGTTTTTGATCTTGTTGTATCTCAAATCATTATTATTGTTGTTCATTTAATGTTTTATTATTGTTAGGTATTCATTTCATTATTTATTATTGTTACTAGTTTAATTTCTAACTACTGTTATTCTTTTCATTGTTTATCGTTGTTAATGCCTAGCACAAAACACAAACATTCACTGTTGTAGCTTTCAATCTTTATCTTTGTAAATTGGTGTAGGCCTATTGCCGTTGGTAAATAAATAAATAAAATAAATAAATAGCCTAATCAATCCATTTTTTTTTTTTTTTTACTATACGTAGGCGGGTACAGTTTCTTAACTGGGCTATGCTAATATTGATTCAAACTATCGAATTGAAAATATTGATTAATAATCGATATTTTAAAATAGGCCTATATCTATTTTAAAAGGTTTACTAATCGAATCGATAGTTTCAATCAATATTATTATAGCCCAGTTAAGAAACTGTACCCAAGTAGGCCTATAAAATCAAACTGTTATGACCTAACCAACCAAACTTTGCTGATAATGAAAAAATCGAATTAAGGTTTACTAATCAAATCGATAATTTCAATGGATATTTAAGTTTACTTGTTATGAAACTGTACCCTAGGCCTATCCATAAAGTAACTTAATAGTCCTAGTTCGAAACAAGTAGCCTAATAAATAATATTGATTATTTTACTATAATTTTTAAATAAATAATTCACTTAGAACCTGTTTTTACACAAACTCACCTGCCAAACTGAGCAATAGGCTTGTCGGCGATTTCAATGGCAAACAAAAATGGCCTAATCCTCTATAATAGAAATACACACTCTTGGAAAGAAACAACACACCAGTAAACACGGTTTTGTTTTAAAATAACAGTGGAATCAAAAGTAAAGCATACGTTAAAATGCAGTTGCAAATTGTTTAGCTAGAGCCAAGAAGGAAGATGACAAGTCAACAAGACAAGAAAGTGAAGACAGCAAGCACAGCCATCATCCATCTTTGTTTTGTTATTCTTCTCCTTTTCTCATTCAGTCTATAGTGATTTATCATAGATTAAACATACTCCTCAATGTATAGTATATTGGATTGATAGTAAGATATTGTTCATATGTAGGGCTTCTATGATGAGAGTCGAAATGCGTATGTTTTATCTATGGCATTAGTCATTTAAAATAATTTAAAATAGGGTACTAACTGTGGTCTCTATTTTATATCAATGTATATAAATATTCCTTAATCTCAATTTTATCCTCCTCTTTCTTATGATCTGACGTGTGCCGCAAGACGAAAATGCTGCGCGGTACACGAATTCCCACTGGACTACTAGACATGCGGCGTCACGACTCACGCCACATCAACGCCGGACTACTAACTACTCTAGTATTCGTACTAAATACTATGCATGCATTCGAAGGGCTATTGCTTCTTATCAGGGGGTTTCACATTCCCCGGCGCGCACCGCACAGCCCAACTTCTAGTCCTGCATCTGCCCCTGGACTGGAGGGTGAAGAACCAGCGTTGCATGAAGCACCATAAACAACACTAATTTAAACAATTAGTTGGGAAAATAGTGCTCAATAAATTAACACTACTTAATGATGCAAACAATTAGTGCTCACCAGGAACAATTAATAAATGGTACTGTTAAATAGTCAATATAGGTAGGTATATATAGTCAATGGCTTAACCCATGGTGGAAGGTACAAATGTGTAAACCTACATTTATTTTTTTGGAACGAGTTTGCAAACAAGCGTAATCGGCCAATAGGAACGGGAAATTAGCTGTCTACAGGTTTGCTCATTGCTTCGGTTGAGGTACTTATACTTCATACTTCATACTTTTCTCTTCATCGTTGACCAGTATAACTGGATAGATGGCGTCAATACTATTACTAAACAAAACATATATTTACAGCAAAAATACTTTGAGAAATCAAATTCTTAGATCTTGATTTAAATTTGGCGGCAGGTCACTTCATTTTATTGAGGAGTGGTCGGCTTCTAGATACTCATTAAGTGTGTAGAGGTATTTTAATATCCTCGCAATAATTAAGTTTACGTTTTGCTGCATCTTGATGAAACATATTATGTTTAACCATGTTTAACATACCCCCCTATACTATTCAAAGAAGCTATAATCATTGACTTTGAATAGTGCTAGGGAGTATGTTTAATCTATGCTACTATCTACCCTGAGATAGTACATCCACACGTCGACGGCTACATGGCACCCTCGAAGATGATGCCTTAGCTTGGTTTATTGAATAAACATGGTTTATCGAAATAAACAAACATTACATTGAGTGAGGTTATGTTGTTGAGCTGTTTAGCTGTTTGTTGATGTTGGTTGACTGGAACTCTTATTCAAATTCTAAAATTAAATCGTGGACTCTGTTAATAGTGTTATTTTTACATACAATTTATTTTAGCCTATTTTAATTTAGCGTAGCACATTAAAAATAAGCCCTTAGTGAATTTAACGTCAGTGGCAAGTGTGAGTCAATGGATCTAAATGCCAATTATATGGTAATCAAACAAGGAGCTGAGGGCAAGATTTACAAGGGTTTATATCTAAATAAAAGGGTGATTGTAAAGGAAAGATTTGTAAAGCATTACAGAATTAATGACTTGGATGAACATCTGACCAAGGAAAGGATGAAAGCAGAAGCAAAAACAATAGTGAAGAGCAAAAATGCTGGAGTACGCACCCCAGCCATTTACTTGGTTGATTTTGACCATCGCATTTTAGTAATGGAAGAAATTGTTAACAGTGTTACAGTGAAAGACGCTATAAATGAACTTACAAGTTTACAAGCGGAAGGTGATGTCAGAGGAAAGTTGGAAACAATTTGTCAGGAAATTGGTTTAGCTCTAGGAAAGCTGCACAAGAATGGAATTGTGCATGGCGATCTCACAACATCTAACATGTTATTGAAGCAAAATAGTCCAGAATGTGAACCAGAACTGTACTTAATTGATTTTGGACTCAGTCTTCTTGATGCATCACCTCAAGATAAAGGTGTTGATTTATATGTGTTGGAACGTGCCCTTATTAGTACTCACAAAAACTCTGAACAGCTTTTTGATCTTATCTTAAAAGCTTACCAGACAGTTTATAAGAAGGGGAGTTGCAGTGAAGTTATGAGTAAGCTTGAAGAAGTAAGAGCTAGAGGTAGGAAAAGAACCATGGTAGGTTGACGAGTTTGAGAATTTATTGCTGTACAGTAGTAATTATTGCACAAAGTAAAAATACAGAACATTTTATATTTGAATCTTAGGCTGCACTTTACTTGACGTCCTACACTCATTCGATTGTTTTTTCTATTCGATATTTTCGTTCGATTGTTTCATTCGATATATCGTTTGGTTAGTTAGGTTAGGTTAACCTTACCTAACTAACCAAACGATATATCGAATGAAGCAATCGATTAATCGATATATCGATCGATATTTTCATTCGAATGAGTGTAGGACGTCAAGTAAAGCGCAGCCGAATCTTGTTATTCACCTTTTTTCGCTTTAAGCAGTTTTTCACCCATGTAAAAAAACCATTTCAAATTATTATTGCAGACCAAAGAACTCGTGCATGGTAATGCTTAGGGCCTACTCATGAATCCAATTTAAAAGTGAGATTATTTTCATTTTCAAACACTAAGTTAACTTATAGGAGGGGACCCATGCGCAAATTGTGCATTTTAATAGAGTGTTAAGCAATAGCTTATATGAATAACCTAATAATTAATCCATTTAACCTAGTGATAGGAACAACTGATTGAAAACAACTGATTCAATCGATTGTTGGAAGTTCTCCTGGATTTAATGGAAACTAGTCACTTCAAACTCCCAGTCCTACAGCGGCGACTAGAATCAGTCAACTTATCTTTGGAATAACTGGAAACAGTCAAATGTCAGTGATTGAAACTAGTCGTAAGAACCATACTGACATTTGTTAAGACTGACTGGTGAATGAAAACGGTTGTAGATAAACTATTGTAGGTACTGTAGGCCTACACGAATTATTGTGAACAGTGTTTCCGTATAGTTAAAATAATGTAATTAGGTTTATTTTTTATGTCTTTAAAAATGTTTGATTTCCAAGTCACCGTTTTTTAAGTAGTATTGTACTAATGATTTAGATGTAAATGACTAATAGAGTAATCTGCTTCTAATACCATAACCAGTTAAAAACAACAGAATGACTAGTCGATTGTTTTTTCCAGTCGGTTGTCCCATCACTACTACAGTCCAACCTCAGTATAACGAATCTGAAGGGACCGAACTGAATATTCGTTATATCAAGGATTTTGTTAAAACGAGGTTCGTTATATAGAGGTTAGGATTGCAGAAATTTCGCTAAGTCGAGGTTCAGAACCAGCATCCGTCAATATAGGTCGGGATTCGACCTCATTAAAATGCAATTAAAAGTAGTATAGGCTACAATACTTTACAGTACAGTGTTTACATTGTACAGTAGAACCTAAATTATCCGGCATAATAAAGGGGAGGGATCTTGAATATTGCGCAACAATGGCATTGACCTTGGTACAGGTTAAAAACTGTAAGTTTAAAATCACAGCTTGATCTAACCCTCCTAAAACCTAGCCAAACACTGTATTGCGTAGTCATAAACCATGTAAAGAACAAAACAAAACAGTAGAAAGTTTTGTAAGCTACTGCTCGTGATAGGCCGGCAGGCTACTTACAGTACGGTACAGTACAGTACTGATTTATCACAACAGAGGAATGTCAATAATAATCATCAACTATAGGACGTGTTGCTAGTTGAAACAAATCGTATTGAAAACAATAAATTATTAGATCAGTCATTATAAAAGTGTATAATCATAGCCAACTTAAGGATAATAAAAAAACCCTCGTAAAAGGAATGTTAAAATAACGATGTTGCTATTATTTATCTTTGGTTTTGTTTTTATATTCTTTCTTAGGTTTCTCTTTATCCTAAAATTGTACAATTCACCATAGTTATCCCATATCGCCCAATCACAGCTTACTAAACATTACGTCGTCATCAGTCATCAGAGAATGAAATCAGTTCTCAGTTGCAACATAGCGCGCGCAGCGACAGCAGACCATCGATGTATAATAACATCGATGCAGCAGACAAAGATGTAAAACGGAGCAGACGAATGTTAGCGCAAGCGATGACGTGACCTTTCCATTTCATTTGATAAAGAAACAAATTTTCCCAAAACAATAATTGGGTGGGGGATTTGTTATATCGAGGGAAAGACGTAGACAATTCGTTATGAAGAGGTTAAATTCGCAATGTAGAGGTTCTGACAATGATAAATTCGTTATATTGAGGTGTCTTATTTTAGCCGAAATCACGAAAAATTCGTTAAATCAAGGTCGTTGTTGTGGTTTGTTCGTTATGTAGAGGTAAAATATACATTGTGCCTTATGGAGAGTTCTAGGGGATTAAAAAAAATTTGTTATATCAAGGAATTCGTTATATCGAGGTTCGTTATATCAAGGTTAGACTGTACAAACATGACTTGTAACAACAAAGTTTAAAATTTAAGAAAGTCACATTAACTTAAGTTAGGATAAGTTAGAGGCTTTAATAAAACTACTAATATACTACTAATACTACTAATATACTAACATATAGGTATGCAAAATAAGCCGAATGCAGATCTACAACATATAATATATGTTGTAGATGTGACCATATTATGGTCACCTTCTTACTTATATCAGGTCATTTAATTATAAAATAGCCTGTGCTTTAATCCAATTTTTATTTCAACTGTTTAAGTACCTAGTCTTTGTTTACAACCTGGCAATGGTTAAAAACTTTGTCTGGTAAATTGATATTCATTTTAAGACTGATACACGAGCCTTTCACACCTACGGTTTCTGCAGTCCGTTTGAAAACAGTAATTTTTACGCCAATTCTATGTTTCTTTCACTTGCACGGTTTCTGATCTTAGGGGGAGGTGAATGTGTTAATGTCACACACGATAACATAAAAATAGATTTTTAATTGACCGGTCAGATTGTAAACGATAAACATTGCAACACCTATTCTATTTGAATTGGCTGGTGGGCTCCCGTTGTATTGAAACCCCTGCTGTATGAAAGATTGCATTTAACTACATGTGCCACTGATGCACGGCCTCGTCACGACAACCATCCGGCTCAGTGGCAGTGGATGGCTACAAGACAGCACGAGTTTCTGTCGTCACCGTAACTGTAGTGTGAAAGCTCTCATGCTCTTCCATAGGGTAGAAAAAGTGTAGTTTGAGATGTGAGCGTTATAAAGCAGGTTGGTAGGCAGCACTGCTTCTAACTAATTTTCTAGTTTATAAGGAAAACTGTATTTTTTATGTATTCCGACATAAGCAATGCAATCAACAGGGTGTCCACAGAAAATTTGTCATTTATTTCCATGACTATTTACTATAAATTTCCATGACTTACGAACTTTACTTGAAAATTATAATATTCTTACACACACGAAAAATACTGCCTAAACAAGTTATTTCACAGAATATACTGAAATATGTATTAAAAGAAAACAATGGAGTAATACATTTTGCTAAAATATGGCATTCAAAGTAAGGAAGGAAAAAGGAAAGCCCAGACTCTGCCGTCCCCATAGCTGGCCAAGTTCTCTCCCCTTTTTCATTTTTCAAAACTCATAAACTAATACAACTGTAATGAATTGAATTGTCATAAATTTGTGAGAAATCCTGAAAAATGCTACAATAGTTGGTGTTAGAACTATGTATGTATGTATGTGGTGTCTATGTATATTCTCTACTGCCTGCCATTTGAAGATAAAACCACATGTTTTATTAACTTAATTGTTATGATAAATTTATATTACTTGTTTACATTTAATCAGTTTCATTCTCAACTATGTTAATAAACCATCTATTTTTTCATCTCTTTAATTAAGTAAAATCTTATCGATCTTACAATCTATCATTAACAGTTGGGGTTACGGCCGACTAGTGCATTGAAAAGTTCCCTCAAATCCATCCATCATTGGGGATTTCCCTGACTTTCCATGACCTTTTGCCTATTTCCATGACTTTCAATGACCAGCATTTTTTCCATGACTTTCCAGAATGTGGACACCCTGAATCAAGTATACCTGTTCAAATAAAGAGCTTTTTGACTTTCTCTCTATAAGTTTCCCAAAAATAATATTTTTATTATAACTACTGTAGCCTGTGTACCTGTGATTTCGCAATGGCAGAAGATCTGCTTTGGTTGTTAAAAGTCAAGGATAAAAAAACACAGAAGTAAAAGTTGATAAAGATTATAATTACAAAGAACTGCTAACTACTTCAATACAAAAAGTAAATAAAGTTGAGACAAGAAATATCCTAAACACAAAAAAATACATTCAAGACAGTACTTGGTATCATTTAGGTTTAGTTTCTTGATCTGTGACATAGCGAATGAAGACATTATTCTCTGGCATAGGGTCAGGCAGAGGATCTTCTTCGTACATGTAGGAGCAAGCGATGGCCAGGACTGAACCTGAAACATGTTCTTTTTTTAACATCTATCACACTATCACTTGATCTATCACTTTGATTTTAAACGTTAGCTAACTGCCCACATTTTGTCCTCTTATTTGTACATAAGCTGCTTAGGTGAAGTAATAAGTTAAGCAGATAGACAACTATAAAGAAATACATTGAGGTAGGGCTGGTCTAGTGTTTAGAACTCGGGACTCCCATCCTTAAGGTACAGGTTTGAATCCTGCTTATCACTAGAAGCTTTAAGCTAGGGTAAAGTGGGAACAACTAGCTTTACTTTGTAAAATATATATGTGTATATGTACGAGGCTTGTCCAGAAAGTAAGTACCGTTTTGTTCTACCCCCGGCACAGTGCTAACAACGATGTTACACGCATGTGCACTAGTCTCATTGGTTCATTTGTTAACAGCTGACGCAATAACGGCAAAATTGTGTTGTGTTTTCATTAGTTAGTGTGCGCTCAAAATGTTAGAAACAATTTCTGATCCCGCGGACTGTAAAGTGCGTTCTGTAATACAATTTTTGAATGAATGCAAGGAACGTGACAGCAAGAAGCCTGCTGAAATTGATCGCCAACTTACAGAAGTTTATGGAGAAACAGTTATCACTGATGGAATGGCAAGAAAATAGGTTCGGCAATTCAATGATGCACCAATATTCATGACAAGGCTCGCAGCGGGCGGCCATCTGGTGTGAGTCAGGAATTTAATTGAAAAGGTGAATGAAAAAACTTGTGAAAACAGACGTTTCACCATAAGAATGCTTTCTGATTAATTCCCACAGATTTCAAAATCTCTTTTGCATGATATTGTGGTTATTTGCTTTAATTATCAAAAGATGTGTTCCCGTTGGGTTCCGAAGATGCTTACGGATGAACACAAAAAGAAGCGACTTGGCAGTGCCTTGACATTTTTCACCTGTTTCAGTGATGAAGGGGATGAATTCTTAAACGAGTTTGTTACAGGTTGTGACGTAATTTTCCTAGCGGGCGACAAGTGGGAAATTACGCCACCAATAAGAAAACGAGATCCCAGGATTCGCCCTAGTCTGGTCGCGGGGAATTTTCCCAGGATTCGATAGTGATTCGGATAGCCTAAATTTGATAGCCCTGGTTAACAGAGCTCGGGACGAACGTTGCGGGTTACCCAAACACCCAACTCGAAATCACCACTCTAGCCTAGGGCTTGTGGGGAAATTAATAATTTTGACTTGACTCTGTGGGCAATTATCTTAATGACACACTACTAGCTAACTTAACGAGAGAACAGGTAAGCTAAGTAGTCACCCCGCTTACCTACGGAGTTAAGTCGTCAACCTGTAACAAACAAGGTTAGTACAAGATAGGCCTAACCTAGCCTAATTCCCACAGAGTCCGAATTTATTAAACAAAAAGAAAACAAGTTAGCCTAAGTGGTCCAGGTGAGGAACAAACAAAAAAAAAAAACAAAACTAAAAGGTGAAACTGCTCCTTGAGCCAAAAACGAAAAATTAAAACTTCTGCTTCCTCACGTGGTCGACTTAAGCAAACCTAGACAAACTTGGTCCAGCAGAGACCTGTCTGCTGGGACGAACTTCGGGACGTGAGGGTACTTTTAAAAGGGTTAAAGACCTAAGAGGAAAATTCCCAATACGGGCGACATACGCTAATTAAAGTGATACGTCACCAACTGTAATAGTAAAAGCAAAAAAGTAGGGATGGACGAGATTGGATTTTTAGTTCGAGACGAGACGAGACGAGATTTTTTATTTCTCATAAAATTTCGAGACGAGATTTCTCTTCTCATACACAACGGGAAATGCACGTTTGAAATTTTTACCTGATTTTGTAACATTGTTAGATGACTGTTTAAATACTAAAATAATGATAATAGGCAAGAATATTTACAATCTTTCATTAAATAACATCAGCATAACATTTTTTTATTAATCACGCCTAACTTATTAAAAATGCCTACGATTAGGAAACATGGTGATATCAGTTAGGATAGAGTTCAACTTATCCTAAAATAAAATAAATCATAAAATAAAAGCAATATTAATTTTTATAAAATAGTTACTTGTTTTGACTTTTTTTATAGTAATACAGTCTAACCTTGATATAACGAACCTCGATATAACGAATTCCTTGATATAACGAACTTTTTTAAATCCCCCAGAACTCTCCATAAGACACAATGTATATTTTACCTCTACATAACGAACAATCCATATCAACGACCTTGATGTAACAAATTTTTCATGTTCCTGGCTAAAATAAGACACCTCAATATAACGAATTTATCATTGTCAGAACCTCTACATAGCGAATTTAACCTCTACTTAACGAATTGTCTGCGTCTCTCCCTCGATACAACGAACCCCCCACCACCATTATTGCTTTTGAAAAATCTGTTTCTTCATAAAATGAAATGGAAAGGTGACGTCAATGCTTGCGCTAACATTCGTCTGCTCTGTTACACATCCCTGTCTGCTGTCGTCGTTGCGCGCTATGTTTACAACTAAGAGAACTGATTTCATTCACTGAGGACTGATGACGACGTAATGTGTAGTAAGCTGTGATTGGGTGATAAGTAAATATGGTGAATTGTACAATTTTTGGATGGAGAGAAACCTTAGAAAGAAAAAGAATAGAAGATCAAGGCAAAGAAAAAGAATAGCAACATCGATATCTTAACATCTCATTAACGAGTGTTTTATTATCTTTAAGTTGGCTATGATTATACACTTTTATAACGACTTAGCCGATCTAATATTTTCTTTATTTTCAATATGATTTGTACTAAGTTCATGATTAATACAGTACATTCCTCCATTGTGATTTAAAGCAGTAATGTAGCCTACCGGCCTATCGCGAGCAGTAGCTTACAAAACTCTAATGTTTTGTTTTGTTCTTTACGTGGTTTATTGCTATGCAATACAGTGTTTGGCTAGGTTTTAGGTGGGTTGGAGTAAGCAGTAAGCTGTGATTTTAAACTAAAGTTTGTAACCTGTACCAAGGTCAATGACTATAAATGTCATGATTGCGCAATATTAAAGATCCCTTCCCTTTAGTATCCCGGATAAGCGAGGTTCTACTTTACAATGTAAACACTGTACACTGTAAAGTATTGTAGCCTAGACTACTTTAATTGTGTTTTAATCAGGTCCAATCCCGACCTATATAGACTGATGCTGGTTCTGAACCTCGACTTAGCAAAATTCCTGCAAACCTAACCTCTATATAACGAACCTCATTTTAACGAAATCCTTGATATAACGAATATTCGGTTCGGTCCCTTCAGATTCGTTATACTGAGGTTGGACTGTAAAACATTCCTCACACTGCTTACTCTTAACAAAACTTCTCAAATGTTATTAAAGTAATATTATTAAAATAATGAAAGTAATATTTACATTAAAACAATTAAAGTAATATTTACATTAAAAGAATTAATTAAATAAGAACGCCTTCGAAAAGGAAACGCAACTACAACACGCTCCTGTATTGCGGGTATTGCATTGACTTTCTGCAGGCGTTTTTAATTTTTTTTTTTTTTTTTTATTCTTGTCTCGATAAAAATCTCGGCCAAAAAGTAATCTCGTCTCGTGTAACGAGATTGAAAATTTCCCGAAATTTCGAGACTTGACCATCCCTACAAAAAAGAGTTGGTTAAGCTGTATAACTATGGCGGAATAGTCAGGCCTAGCCTGTAAAAGTTGGCTGGGAATATCGAATTATCACACTTTGAGGACTAACCCCAATAACGCCAGTTGAGTATTATGGTAACACTCACCAATCGAAGATCCAGACTATACGTACGAAACACTCTAGACGAAAACTCGCACACACACTACCACTAAAATGCACGAGAAACGAAAGAAGACGAATATATTCTCAACTCGAAGGGAAGCCGGTCGGAGTTAGAATGACGACCTTCTTCTTACCCCTCGAAAATCCCCTCAATCCCCTCACGCTCACCTCTGATTGGTCAGAGGTTACAAAAAAAAAACCCCAAAAAACAAAGCTTGATGCTTGAGGGAAGGCGCAAGAAGAACTAGAGCAAGAAGAAGCATAGTGGGAAGGAAGATGAAGAAGTAAGGCGGAGAAGTAAAACTGGAGCAGACGACGCTCCCCGAAAAACAGTGCGGCGGTTTTTACTTCCTCTGTCCCAGTCGTCTGCTGGTGCGTCTGTCACCTCGGTTTCGTTTCGAAGTTAGGTAACGACGTTGAGGTTAAGTTGCAACAGTTACGTTAGTGCCACGACTAGGCCTACTCAACAGCTTATAATTAGCTGTTTAAACATCGTGGTTTAAATCGTTATTTTTACCCCCCTACCCATTTGACCCGTTACAAGGTGATGAAACTTGGGTTTGTCATGTCACTCCCGAATCCAAACAACAATCAATGGAATGAAGACACTCACAATCCCCCCGAAATCAAAATGTCAAAACAACTTTGACGAAAAGAAAAATCATATGCACTGTGTTCTGGGACAGAAAGGGCTTTTTGCTTGTTGATTTCTACCCAGAGGGGAAACAATCAATGTGGAAAGATATTGTGAAACCCTGAGAAAACTTTTGAGTGTGATTCAGATCAAAAGACGTGGAATGCTTAGTGAAGGCATTGTGTTGATCCATGACAACGCATGTCCCCATTCTGCTGGTGCCACTCAAAACCTTATTCATGGATTTGGTTGGGAACAGTTTGACCATCCGCCGTACAGCCCTGATCTGGCACCTTCTGATTTGCACTTGAAACGGGATTTCGGAGGGCGCCGCTTTGACAGGCCCCCTCATCTAAGCCACTCCAAGCCCCCTACAGTGACAGTACGCCACTGCCCTCCCTGTAGCAGCAAACCTTGGTACTCGTTAAATCTAATGCTATTGAAATAGTTTTTCATTGAAAATCAAATCAGGCAAATGGAAATTCGCTTAGTCTGCAGGTTTGCTGCGGCAGGGGTATTTAAAAAATCTCACTTCATGAGATTTGTTCCCACATATGCATGCATTTTGCTGCCCATTACAGTTCTCTTTATTAAAAAATGTTGATAAAAGTACAAACCACTCTTTAACTTACCATCATGGCTGAAGGACAAGGACGCTATGGATGTGTTGTATCTATGGAACTGGCACAGACGTTTCTTGTTCTGGCCATCCCATATATTCACATAACCATCAGAGCCTCCTGTTGCGAATGTGTTGTAGCCTTGGTGAAAACTGAAAAAAAACCAGAACCGTACAGTAATTAGTGTATGTCCAAGGACAATACAGTTTAGATCAAGTGAGAATTGCTTTCAGAGAAAAAAATATTGGGCGTGTTTAGTAAAACTTAAAGGAAAGCATAAAAAAAATAAAAATAGAAAGAATATACAAAAGACATTTAGTCTAAGTTGTTTACTTAATCATTTGAAAATAGTAAAAAAAACCTTTTGCCTTTTTTCTAGCTTTGTCTTGTAACAGGTATTTAAAACTAAGCAGAAGCAAATATGTAAAAGAAACACCAGATACCCAAGGTCCATAAAAAACAAATTTGAATTTTACTTTTGTATGATTTAAATCAAAGCTAATATGGTTCTTACTTGTTATTATTTTAATCTTTTGTAAGAGGTTGGCAGCCTCTTTTCACCTTGCATTCTCCCGTCCACACACACACAGGCTACCGACCTGTGCGTGGAACCTATCCAGCAAAGCAAGGGTGAAAGGTACTGATAAAAAGTAGCGGCAGGGACCAGGATCTGAACCCACGACACCACTGCCTTGGGCCCGAAGTCAGCAACGCTACCGACTGAGCCACAGACTCACCTTCATTAACACACAGCAGAAACTTGTGTTTGTAAAGATACTCTTTTTAAAATCAAGAGTCATTTAATTAAACCTTTTTACCTGATAGCATTTACAGGATATATTTTCTCTATTCCTCCTTCTTTGAGCCTGTGGCACTTGAAAGCGTACTTCTTCTTCTGCATTTCAGCTCCGGTGTCCAAGTACTCTACAGCAACCCTTCCTTCTATGCTGCTGAGCACATATCCCTAAAATTTACATTCTTTTATTATGATTGTAACTCACTTCGAATTTGTTCATTGTAAAATTACAAAGCCTCACTAAATTGAAGAACTTGGAAAAGGTCATGTTTTAAATCATTATATGGTGCCCAAATAGTGATTATTGGGTTCAAATAGAATAAAATACTACAGTTTTTTTTTCAAATAGCAAATATTTATGTTATTATATATATTCACCAAAAATGAGTAGCCTACTATAGTCGAGACCCATCTCAACATTACCAGTGACACTTGCCTGTTTGTTGGGGAAGCATCGAATGCAGCGTGTTTGGTACTTGAGGCTGGATTCTCGTCGCTGCTGTATGTAGCCCATGTTGCGGAGATCCCACACATAGACCTTTCGTCCTGCAGTCCCGACGACAAACTTCTCCCCACACAAACTCATGGTGTAAACCTGCAAACATAAACCATTATCAACTAAATGAAGACATTTAAACATTATCCTTAGTTCAATATGTTTTCATTTCATTTCATTTCATTTCAACATATTAACCTAATAATAGGAAAGTAGATGAGTGGGAGTCACTTAGATCATTTAAATCTCTCTATGACTTCTTACTGAAGCCATTCGCCCTAGCACAACGTTAAGTTCTCGACTACTTTTGAAAAAAAAAAACATTAATGCATATATTGTAACTTGCTTCTTGGTACGGAATCAGTATGGTAAGCGGCTACCAGTAAGCACAGAGTAAGATTATTGTCTTTTCATTTACAAGGTTAATATCGTCACATAGCAATCATTAGTTTATCTTAGGCACAATTACATTTTCCTATTATATTTTACAGCTCTTTCAAAGAATCAAAATACCCAGGCCTAGACCTAATTATTTAGGAGGGCCTATATAGATTGAGTAACAAACAATAAGGTTATAATAGCAGCAAAGTCACTATCGTCATTCTAGTTCATAAGATTTAGATTGTTAAAGCACACAACACAATTAATAAATATGGGAAAAAAACAATTGAAACCTGAACAGCCAACAATATAGGGCCTGTGTAATGATAAAAAAAATAATTAATGCTAACAACAATGTTTGTATGGTTTTGTCAATTGAACGATAAAATATGAGCAACTTATTGTTACTCGCTTATTTTTATTTTGTTCCCTTTAGTCCCTTTTAGTAGGGGGATTTTTACCTCCTGTGCAGATATAGAAATTAGTGAGAATAATTAATTTTCTCATTTTAGTTTTGATTGAATAGTAAACATTTTATTATTAAGTAGCCTATCTTAATTTATTTCTAATCTCAACTAAGTATAAACCGGTTTTGCTGTTTAGTTTTAATATTCGAGTTTTGGGATTTAACTTTTAGGGCCAACTGTTACTGTTAGTTAATAAATGTACATGTAAACAGGTTTTGCTGTTTAGTTTTAATATTCAAATTTCGGGATTTGACTTTTGGGGCCAACTGTTAGTTAATAAATGTACAAACAAACTGAGTAGCCCATTTGAATGATAATTGGGTGAACATATCTTAAAAGATTTTTTTACCAAACGACCGTGGAAAAACAATTTATTTAGAAGAAAATTAATTATTCTCACTAATTTATATATATGACCAGGGGGTAAAATTCTGGGCTTTACATTTTAAGCTGACCTCATGAAAAGGTTAAAAGTCCAGGGGTAAAATTTCGGCCCGTACACTCTAGGTTTTATAATTTGATGTGTTCTGATTAAATTCACAACCGTGAAAATATATGTTTAATTCCACCTTAAATTATTGATTTGATGTTGTGCAACTCAAAAGTTTGCGTCCTGAATTTTACCCTCTTGTTTGTGACGTCAGTTTTGCTAAGGAGTAAAATTCCAGGGGGAGAAAATTCCGCTATCCCCTCGTTTAACTAAATATCAGTTTGTTGCCAGCCACAGCCTGCTTTTAACTTTACTTAAGACAATTTAATGATACAGTATAACCTAGATAACAAGACACATTGGATTTAAATAAGACTTTTTATCAAGGTTTGAAATAAAATTGCGATTATAGGGATCATCTATTTCAAAGATTTGAAAATGTTGTTATCAAGGATCCACTGATGTTACCTTATCGGGCTGTGTGTAGTTCCCGACACAGCGTGAGGCTCTGGGGTCCCACATTTTAACTGTGGCATCCCAACTCCCAGTCAAAATTCCGTTCACTTCACTGGAGTACTCCACAGCTCTGATTGCACTGTCATGTGTTCCCAGTACACTTTCTGCAATTCGAATGGATGCCAGTTTATTCTTAATAAGCACTATATTCTAGCAATGTAAAGTAGGCTACTTCATGAAATACCATTGCTTAGAAGCCTGAACTATTACCCTCTAGGATTCATCATTACCACCATAACCTGTACTGGATTTCTTGTTCACCGTGCATTATATGCCATATGTGAGGTAGCCAATTACTAAAAATATCATTCAAGCTGTGTCAATTGCCCTCATGACCCAAGTCAAAATCAAATCAAATATCATTTATTCTATTAAAGTTGAATGGTTTACCGAAACAGTTTACAGAGCCTGCAGTCATGGGGCTAAGAAGGTCGATCTTGATCGGCCTTAGCTTTTGGAGGAAATAAGAAGGAAAGCCCTAGTGGTATAGTTTAAAAGGCCTGGCCCAGTAATGTGCTAAACAGTTCGTCCTAAGAGATGAAGGTTTTTTTAGCCCGTAGTCTGGGGACATTGAGCCCACGGGAGTCTGGCACTATTGAGAGGACATTGAGCATCTAAATGTACGTAAATGCATTTTTTACCTCCTCTCTACTCTACAAAAAAAAAAAATCTTTTTACATTGTAAGCAATTTGGATAATTGGAGTTCTACTGTAGGCTACTTATTGGCGTACTGCATGGTGGACTTGGAATGGAAAATAAACATATCTACATATTATTAATGAATTATTGGTGTCTTAAAAATGTGTTCAGATGTCACTCGAGGCACTCAGAATTTGTTAAAAGCGTTGTTTCTCGAGCTGCTATTTACACACCTAACGATTCAAATATATTTATTCAAGATAAATATCATCATCATATTTATTTTACCTGGCGAGGTCATGTATGGCCTCGCCAGGTTTGCAAAACTTGTGGGCGAGGGACCAATATATTTTTTAAAAAATTACAAAGTTTACCTTATTTTTTTTCTTTTAGTCTTTTTTAAGTATAAAAAAGTTATGATACTAGTTGGTTCTAAGGTGGCTTGTGGCAGGCACTTATTTTATTATATTATATATTTAATCTATTTAATGATGTATTTACAATGATTATTTAAATAAAATAGTTGTTGAAACATATTGCATTTTAACAAAAAAACTAAGTACAGATCAAGAATATAATGTACACTTGAAGTTAAGATTACTAAGATGTTCGGTATTTAATCCAAGTATATAAAATTGCTACAAAATTAGCTCACCTGAATTGCTATTGAAATCATACATTTTAAGCGTATTATCAAGACCTCCACTGAAGCTGTGAACAGCATCCTGAAAAAAGCAAATAAAATTGATCTCACTTAATAAACTTGATATTTGGACTATTCTCCGTGCACTCAATCCCCACAAACACGATTAAATGGGATTTAGCATGCGTTCTTGCAGTACTCATCCACCGCGTGATCGGATTATCAAGACTCAGCTCTGTATTTGAAAAGAATAGTAGAGCATGACATGGAAATCTATTCTTGACGTGTCTAGGCACTGTGGTGGTGGGCCATTTTTTTTATTCTGGGCTTCCAGACTGACTTAATATGTTTCTGCAAGACAACAGCAGTATTTAAAAGCCAAACAATGAATTCCTGAATGAAATGATTTCCTGGATTAGGCCTATATTAAATAACAGTGATCATTCCAATTAGTTTTAAGTTAAGCCAGAGTAAGTTAGGATGAGTATGAATTAATTTAAAATAAGTTAGAGGTATGATGTGTTGTAACCTACCTGGAAACAGACATCAAGCACAGGCCTGTCATGAGAATATTTAATTCTCAAGTTGTTTGTCTGGATATCATATAATGATACTGTGCAATCCCACGATGAAACCAGCAGAAATTGTGATGAGTTCGGTCCAAATTTTACAGAGGAAATTCCGTCATCCGGAGGGGATTTTAATTTAAATTCAGTCCTTGTTTCTCCAGTCATCTAAAAAATATTTCAAAAGCTGTTTAGACCTGACTCAACATCATACTATACTAATATTATAAATGTAAAGGTTTGTGTATTTGTTTGTTTGAAGTTCAATCACGCATAAAACTATTGGTCGGATCGGGCTGAAATTTGGCATGATGATAGCTCACATCCCGATTAACATATAAATATATTCTTGTCTCAAAGAACCTTTCGGGCTCCGCCCCAGTGGCTCCCTGGAGTTTCATATGAACCTTATTAGTATTCATATTTTCTTTCAGCACAATTTTTCAGTAGCCTAATTAGTAATGAATACCAATTTTTGGGGGAGGATTTAGGGGTCCCGGATTCGATCCCCGCCAAGTCACCAATGGATTTTATCTAAAAGACAATGCCGCAACCCCTTGGTCTAGCCTGAAGTAATGTGAAAAACAATCCCAGGCTCGAGCTTAGCGTCCTAGGACAAAAAAAGTATTCATATTTAAGAGGAATTAAATTATTTAGTCAGCTGATTCAACTAAACCAGTTGATTCTGTGATATTGAATGCCATTAAAAGTTAAAAGATTTACCTACTGGGTGCAGCACTATTATTTTATTTGTTGTTGTTGTTATGTTATGACGACAGCTAATTTGAACTAAGCAGCAACAAAAAGCTGTGATACACAGAAATATTTTACTTTTTTTAATTGTTTAGGTGCAGTGGTAGAACATTATGGCTATGGTAGATGTGTTATACTAAACGCAAAGCATGAGCATAATTAATTGCAATAAGCATTTTATACTTGAATACGCCAACCCCGTACGAAATATAGGTACTCTGCTAGTTTCTTATAAGACTCTCACTTCCAGTTAACTTATCAGCAAAGAGACAGGATGAGTAAGCCTATTTATTTAGTATACTCAAGTAAAATGTAGTCTACGAGGCCCCCAGCAGCTCTCACCAGTGAGGCCTCTCTATATTCTGATTCTCCGGAAGGCTGGAACATAAGGGTAGAAATACACGATGTATTGCTTCAACTCGATGAATTGGCCTTTTGTTTTCAACATTCTGATCGACAAAAAGACTTGGGAGATTAGCTAATATAATAATAAGTCCATTATATTTTCATTATAATCTTAACTTAAATGTGCGTTTTTTAAAGTCAAACATGTACTGGGTTTTAAAAGAGGAATAGGCCTACATGATGATAATCTTAAATGAAAATACATTACCTTTATAATCTCGACCTCACAGCATGTAATTAGACGCACAATAGGTCTAGAATAGGCTTAATTTTTCAAAAGTTTTGAATGAAGAGCTGACAGTTAACGAATGTGAGAAAATTTGTCTATTTATATACCGGTATCTATATAAATATTGTATCAAGTAACAGTAAATTAGGACTAAGTCTAATCTGAAAATTCAACTTAAAAGAATTTTAGATGTTTCTTCTTGTTTGAACGTAAACAAACGATGGAATCAAGACAAGTAGACAAGACAAATTAGACAATACAAAATGGAATAAAAGACGGTTCGACCATCATTCCACATTCCACTCCACCATTCCTTTTCCTTGAGCGATTTTGAATTGAACGAACATTGAATGAAGGAAAATTAAACCAACCAAACCGAATCCAATCCAAAAGTAACCAACTGTCACTCGGGTCACTCCCGGTCACTCCACTCTGGTTGTCTCGTCTGTTTATGCAGCCTGGCTGGAGCCTGGAGCCTATGGAGCCGTTGGCGTTGGCGCCTTCCTATCAGGCTTCTGCAGTTGTCCAGATTTTCAATTTAGTTTTTTTACCAACTTTCAAAGTTGAGGATTTTTTTTCTGTTTAACGGGATTTTTACAACGGCGCTAAATGGCCACCAACTGTAAAATCATCTCTGAGAAAAAATTAAGAAAAAAAATCAGAACGCAAAAACTAGGCTTCCTCTCTGAGAAAAAAGTCTAAATTCTGAGTTTAAAATCAGAATATAACTAGTGGGCGTTCCCCTCGGAGATTAAAGTCAGAGTTTAACAAAGTGGGCGTTCCTCTCTGTGAAAAAAGATAGAATTCTGAGATTAAAGTCAGAATTGAACTTGTGGGCGTTCCCACGGCCACCTTTAACTCCAGGCCGCAGCTTGGTAGGATTGGCAACGTTGCAAGTAGTGTTGTCTAGTGCCAGAGCCAGATGTCCTGCACGGCCTGGTAGAATTAGCAACATCGCATGTAGGGTTGTTTAGTGTCAGAAGTCCCATAAGATAATATGGCAGACAGCTGACATCAGCTCATTAATTTGCGCTATATTTATTTAAATTTATGAACATAAATTCATTAAAACTAGAGAACCCGTGCGGCTCAATGAGCCGCATAGTATGAAACATAACGCCGATGAAAACTTTATGCTTAAATTCGAGTAATTGTAGCTACATCTTTAGAGTCGTTTAAACACTTGTTAGAAACTAATTTTAAATATCTCTGTTTGCGTCGTCAAGGTTCACCTACATTATTTCTGCTCTCAGTTTTAATTGATAACTTCTAATGAATGCTAAACGATCTGTTTTAATTCGAGTTAACATGTTGCAACTTAGTTTTTCAAGAATTGGGAATTGAAGAAAACTGTTGCCTCAGGTCTACTGATAACCTGTGTTTAGTAATTTAAGTTGGGTCATTTTATTTCTTTGAGACATCCCCCTAATCAAGCAAATTTTCTTCGTGGAGAACCCTGAAAAGTTAGGTGATATCAACCATTTCATGTGGTCCATTTTTCGCCAACTTAACTGTCATAATCTGCTTTGAATTAGCTAAAGCAGCAACACCATTGAAAGTTGGTTAACATATTTTAACGTGTTTCCTGTCAGTCTCACGTTTTTCAGTGGAGTTTCTCTAAATACCTGTCCCAACGTTTTGAAAGTATGGATTCATTTGTCGAAATAGGTTGGACAACTCTTGTAGCTATACGATTTGGATAGCAATTTTCGTATTCTCTTTTTGAACAGCGTATATTATTTGCCTTTCCTAAAACATAAAAATAAACTTGACCGTAACAACTTGATCGTTGAATACTTAAACACTACCCAGACAGCACACTTTATCCCAGGGACATCCCATAGTAGTCCCATATGTCCTGAGAATGTCTCGGGATATGTGCGCTATCCTCAGGATATCCCGCAAAATCCCGGGACGAGTACGAAATCCACAGGATATCCTACAATATACCGTAATGTCCCGGGATTTGTAAGTTAACCTCAGGATATCCTGTAAAGTCCGGGATATGTACGAATGCCATAGGATATCCCAGAATGTCCCATGACATCCAGGGACATGCACAAAATCCACTGGATATCCTGTAATGTCCCGGTAACAAACTGAAGAAAAAAAATACTACCACTGATGAAATGTACAGTATATCTAAATTTAAATGTTCAACAAGGCCAATATATAATAATTTGTTTTTTTACACTAGTGCTTTCAGAAACTTGGTTTCCATCTTCAGGCTGTGTTTACACTAGTACAAAAAGTAAATATTTACTTAATAAATTAATTTTAAACAAAGTTAAAACAGATGATTTAAAGGATATTGGAAAAATAAAAAATAATATTAAAAAAATAATCTTTTGAATTTTGGATATGTTACAGTGTTGTTCTTGATGTAATTATTTTCAGTAATTCCGAATTTATAATTGGGTCGTCTTCATTATTTAACAAATAATTTTGGTCTGTTTTTTTTTCTAAAAATAAGATTCCCACGCATGTTGAGGTTTTATAATTTATTTTAAAAGTTTAAGGTTTCCCAGATTGAAAATATGTCTTGTTAATACTATGGCTAGCAAGGGTTGACTTTACTTTACTGATATTACTACCACTGAGTTCAGGAAAACTAGAGTTCTATCATAGTTGTGTGAAATGTGAATTTAATTCTAACTTTAAATTAATAAAACAACAAAAAACTAATTTTAATCATATAACAATCAATTATTACAGTGCTAATCTAATGGTGATTAAATAATCTATATTCAAATACCAGTATCCTCTCCAACTACCAGAAAAACAATTCAACTACTTGAGGCCTAAACAGATTAACAGAATCATAGCCTATACTGTAGTATCAAAAATATTTTAAGTATTATTGCGACCATTGCAACTGTCGGCTACTCTTTAACCACTTGAAAACACCCATAATCAACAAGCGCAGATAGCTCAGGAGGTAAGGTAAGAGGCTCACAAGGCGAAGGTGCCAGGTTCGAAACCCGTCTGAGCCAAAAACTTTTTTCTCGTTTTTTTCTTCAAAATTTGTGTTTATTAACTATTTAATCAATTTACTAAACTTATAATTAAGCTTTTCATACTAAATCTATATTATTTTGTGTTTTTTATGTTCAGGCCCAGACCACACTTTATCCCAGGGACATCCCATAGTAGTCCCATATGTCCTGAGAATGTCCTGAGGACTACCCTGGGATGACCTCGGATGTCCCACGGATATGCGTGTGAGCTTATCCGTAGGACATCCCCGGGCGGGGACATTACGCATTCCTGTGGATATCCTGTGATATCCCAAGTTGACCATAGGACCACTATGGGATATCTTGCATATCCTGTCGCAATTCGCAATATCCGTGGGATGTCCTGAGGAGAAAGTGTGCTGTCTGGGTAATTCCTTCCCTTATGTTTGGTCTAATATTGCCACTAAAACTTTCAACAGCAAATGAGTTGTTGAAACTTCTTATTTTTGACTTGAAATGTCTGGATTGTGTTGGTAAATTCATTCAATAGACCTTGTATAAGTTTTCCCTAGGAATTGGAAACATAACCTAGAAGTAAACAATCCATTTGTGTTTTTTCTCAATTGAAGTAGAGCGAGTAATACAAAAGTTTACAATAAAGATATAAGGTCCGCCAAGATTTGGTAAAATCTTACTACTTGAACTAATCATAGTCAAGGCATTAAATATAGTTTATACTAAATGTTTTGAAATATCTTGTTTTGTCATTGTCAGAAGTAAACGTTTCTTGCATGCATTCATTTGATCTGACATTAGACAAGTTTACTTTACCACCGTGACAACACTATGTGCTTCGTACATTTTTTCACTTCTAAAGTGAGTTGCTGAGCAGAACCATCGATGTATAGCAGAACTGGCAAATATTATACATATCACCAAGTGAATGTGACGTATCTGGATGGTTGTCTGTTAGAGGCCTCTCTATTTCTACTCTCCTCATACGCATAAGATATCTTACTATTAATTGTCTCCTACTCACGTTTTCAATATTTCTTCTTTGAACTTGAGGCATTTTCTGTTCTTCCTACAAAACTGATTACCGGTTTAACTTGGTCTTAACCTACTGAATATTACAAACATTAATATTTACTCCCAAAAAGCTAATGAGTTTCTTTTTATAAACAGCTGTTTTTGGTTTTTAAATTTCTCCTATGTATTTCTTATGGGGAAACCCCGACCTTTGAGAGGGTCTCACGCTCTTCAGAGTAGGAATTTTAAACTTCTAAAACCTTATTGCAAAACTACATATTGAGACGAATCATTTGACACCTTAAACGTTGAAATTGGTCCACAAATAAGGGAGGAGTTGCGTTAACAAAAAACGGCTTCATGGCGGGGACATTACGCATTCCTGTGGATATCCTGTGATATCCCCGGGCGGGGACATTACGCATTCCTGTGGATATCCTGTGATATCCCAAGTTGACCATAGGACCACTATGGGATATCTTGCATATCCTGTCGCAATTCGCAATATCCGTGGGATGTCCTGAGGAGAAAGTGTGCTGTCTGGGTAATTCCTTCCCTTATGTTTGGTCTAATATTGCCACTAAAACTTTCAACAGCAAATGAGTTGTTGAAACTTCTTATTTTTGACTTGAAATGTCTGGATTGTGTTGGTAAATTCATTCAATAGACCTTGTATAAGTTTTCCCTAGGAATTGGAAACATAACCTAGAAGTAAACAATCCATTTGTGTTTTTTCTCAATTGAAGTAGAGCGAGTAATACAAAAGTTTACAATAAAGATATAAGGTCCGCCAAGATTTGGTAAAATCTTACTACTTGAACTAATCATAGTCAAGGCATTAAATATAGTTTATACTAAATGTTTTGAAATATCTTGTTTTGTCATTGTCAGAAGTAAACGTTTCTTGCATGCATTCATTTGATCTGACATTAGACAAGTTTACTTTACCACCGTGACAACACTATGTGCTTCGTACATTTTTTCACTTCTAAAGTGAGTTGCTGAGCAGAACCATCGATGTATAGCAGAACTGGCAAATATTATACATATCACCAAGTGAATGTGACGTATCTGGATGGTTGTCTGTTAGAGGCCTCTCTATTTCTACTCTCCTCATACGCATAAGATATCTTACTATTAATTGTCTCCTACTCACGTTTTCAATATTTCTTCTTTGAACTTGAGGCATTTTCTGTTCTTCCTACAAAACTGATTACCGGTTTAACTTGGTCTTAACCTACTGAATATTACAAACATTAATATTTACTCCCAAAAAGCTAATGAGTTTCTTTTTATAAACAGCTGTTTTTGGTTTTTAAATTTCTCCTATGTATTTCTTATGGGGAAACCCCGACCTTTGAGAGGGTCTCACGCTCTTCAGAGTAGGAATTTTAAACTTCTAAAACCTTATTGCAAAACTACATATTGAGACGAATCATTTGACACCTTAAACGTTGAAATTGGTCCACAAATAAGGGAGGAGTTGCGTTAACAAAAAACGGCTTCATGTATTATATATATAGATATTGAAAATAGAACATACGGAATTGAAAACTTAAACAATATGAATTGAAAATTTATGTATGTACATTTAACGTGGAGTCAATAATTTCATAGTGCATTAAGCACAGTTTTTATTTCAGCTCCGGTTTTTCAATACAGACAAACGCTTGATATATATGTCGTTAGCACGATAACCCGAGCAAAAATGATCCGATTTTGATTAAATTTGGTACAAACGTGTAAACTACATTTATTCGAACGAGTTCGCGAACCAGCATGATTGGACAATCTATTATTAAAGAACAGCTCTCACTGTATTTTGAAGCAAATAATTTGTTCTCAGCTGCCCAGTTTGGTTTCAGGCCTCACCGCAGTACTACTGATGCTGTTGACAAGTTAATAAAAGCTGCTTTTCAGTCTTTTGAGGATGGGGGCTTTGCTGGGGCCATCTCTTTGTGACCTCAGCAAGGCCTTTGACATGGTTGATCATGACACCCTCCTGGGAAAGTTAAATTTCTATGGGGTTAAGGGGAATATTTTTGAACTGTTTAAATCATGAAATGAAATGATTTATTGTCGTTAAAACTATGTACAAAGTTCATGACAATCGTCAAAATAAAAACAAAACAATCAAGATGGCTCTGGCAACTAAAATATCTAAAACTCTAAACCAAAGTACTCTTCATGTTTATACAGGCAAGCCTGGGTTAGAGTAGTTTTTAAGACATGTTTGAATTTTAAAACACACAGGTTTTTGATGGATGCAGGCAAGAAATTGTACATTTTAACACCTTGGTACTCAAAACTATTTTGAGTGGCTGTATACTTATGCCTTAGTTTTTATTTTAGCTGTAGTTGTACTGACGTTTTTCCAGTAATGTAACCCTATTTTGTGGAAATAAAAATTTTTGATTCTTGGACAATGGGAACGATGGTTTATGGGGGTTTTATCACGGTTTGATGGGGGTAAAATGGGGGTTTTCCATTTTTGACCTTTACACATAACATAACATAAACTAAACATAACATTTTGCAATTCTTTTCAAACCATTTTGTAGAGTTAAAAAACAAATAATTTAGTATATTGAAGCGTTGTTATACACCTATAATAGTTACGGAGAAAATTACAAAAAATGTAAATATAAAATCCCTAATTCTTATTAAATTTGGAAATACATTTATTTCATACCTTTTCAATCAATTTTGAGACTGGTGACGGGCGATGGCAGTAAAATCTCACATTTGCAATACCTCAGAGACAAGAATCAAGAATATTTATTTGCCATTAAATAACAGAACGTTACAATAGGCATCGTCAGTGCAAAAATACATCACAGTCAGTCTATAATCATCTATAATACAATCAGTCTTAGCGTCTAAAAATTCATCTACAGAGATTGATTTCATCAATGCTACTAAATTTGAATAAAAACCTAATTGGTTTGGTTCCTTCTTTTAATTTAGTACGGACTTGAATGATGTACGTAATGATATACAAACCAATTAAAATCATTCGTTTTATTTTTCATATATATTACTATTTTAATATATTTATTGACCCCATTTCTATATTTATACGTTGAAATCTCGCTTGTGATGTGAGTATGAGACTGAGAACGAGCGACCTAACCAAACCAACTTAACTCGCTACTACTACTACACTACAATACTACAACTTCGTTATTTATTTTGTTTAGTGGTGATGTCCTTCATAAAATACGAAATTAGGTTAATTTCTAAATTTGTGCTTATTGTTTTTAAGAAAAGGTGAAATTCTATAATTTATTACGAATTATACAATGTGAGACGCATTTATGTTCCCATCAACACACACCAAAGTCATTACCAACAACAACAGTGTTTGGATCCGAGTTAGGTTTATGGAAAGCTGAAAGGTATTATAATAATTTGGATAAATTTACTACTTATAGTTTTGATAACATTTTTTATGTGTTGGAGATACTATACGAATAATTAGGTGTACATATTACTTAAAACTTGTGGAGTTTGGCAATTTTAATCTAAATGTAAAGGTGTAGCCTAATGGCCTAATTTTTAAATAACAATTATGTAGGGTAGGCAGTTACACAGCTTAGGCCTGGTTATTTATGTCTTCTTAACTTTATGTTGTTTAATATAATCCTAACTAATGAGATGAACATATTTTTCATGTTTAACTAAGTTACCCTATCATATTTATATTAACTTAAATACGGTAGCCTACCTATTTCACTTTTAAGTTTAATTAGGGGTAACACTTCCATATCTGTTGGCACAAACAACCGAATGAGCAATATTGATAATTCGATACATCCTTTGGTTAGTTAGGTTAGGTTAACCTTACCTACTAACCAAATGATATATCGAATAATCGATATATCGATCGATATTTTCATTCGGGTGTTTGTGCCAACAGGTATGGAAGTGTACCCTTAATTAGCACATATTAATCTAGCCAGTCTAGTAAGGGTTTAACCGGGTAGACTTTCATAAGTTAAGTGGTGCTGCCAAAAACAACCGAATGAATATATCGATCGATATATCGAATAATCGGTACGATATTTTCATTCGGTTGTTTTTGGCCCCTCTTATGAAAGTCTACCCGTTAAGGCGGCACTTTAGTTTACGTCCTACATTTACTCACATACTGCCGTTTGGTTAAGGTTAGGTTTGGTTTAGAACAGTTTCATTTTATAATAAGCTGGTACAGTAGTTACATAATGAATGTATAATAGTAAATTGTGTCATATAGGCTATTCAATGAATACCTAAGCCAACAAAATATAAGACATAATCTGAGGTTCAATGAAATATAAAAATACAATAATGTGCAACCTCCGTGTACCATATTAAAACTATTTAAAGACAAGCATTTAAGTACCAGTACTGTATGATTGAAGTACCTATGCCACTGTTAAGGAACTGTGACAATCTTGTTTGATATAAACTTAGTTTATCAATATTTTCATAATTTTGGGATCAAGGCCTACAAATTAGGCTAGGTATCCAATTTGCTAAACGTGTTTCCTAGTTTAGCTTTTTCTAATACCTACTAAGTACGATGTAACATACTTTTTAATAGACTAAGCATGACTTTTTTCTATTTTAGGTTACACAACCAAGGCAAACTGTAACTTACGATGTGTTGCAATGGCTTCCTCTAGTTCAAGATCTGTTAAAGTTACTGATCTCAACCCTCATCTGTTGTGTGTTTTATGTGGGGGCTATTATGTTGACGCCACCACCATCATTGAATGTTTACATTCCTGTAAGTAGAGCGTGGTATTTAGCTGAATTCAGAATAGATTAAAATCCCAAATTATTGTACCGAATTAAGAATTTGAACTAGGCCTAGATAAAATAAAATTAAAAGAAATTGATTTATTTAGCCTATGTCCAACGGTTCCACCATTTTAAGTAAAAAAGTTAATACAATAGTGCCGACAAAAAAAAAAAAAAAATACTCTTGAATAGGGCCTACTATTGGGCCTACTATCTCCAACCTACGGCCCGTGGACCACCTGCGGCCCGCAAACAGATTTTATCTGGCCCGCGAAGGCCTACTGGAAAATAATTACTTTTTTTACAACCTTTCAGTGCCGCCGCGTCTCGCTCCGCAATGCACCATTGTCGTAGCTTGAGTGCGGAGCGTCTCATAGCGAGATTGCGTGAGAAATACTGGCGTCTCGGAGCGAGACGCTCAGAAAATCACTCCATACAGTATCACATTTCAATAAAGCTGGCTGCAAATCACACCAAATGTGACAGAAGGAGGTTGGCGACAACTATTTTGCTCTTTTACCGTAGAATGGAGCTGAGAAATGTGATCATCCAATCAAAAACCATTACGCAATAGTAGAAGGTTTTGCACAGCTGGTTTGTGTGTTGTTGTTTTGACTGTTTACGTTCTTGTTTACGAATTGTTTCGTTATAGAACTGCAGGTTATAGTCATGAATCGTTGAAAAATACATTTTAAACCTGAAAGTTATAATACCACAGCTTATCCGTGCATTTGGTGATAGTTTGTGGCTAATCACATAAAGTGTACTGGTAACTGGACTTGTCAGGCCTATAGGTGCATGATTTTATTTCGACCGTTTGTATATTTTGTGCATGGCTTCTAATAGTAGGCCTAATCTTAGTAATTCGAATTTTAAACATGATAATAACAACATAAATACAGTCAATGTTAAATGATATAGTTTTGTCTGTAACAACACAAGTCTTAGAGCATGATTTAGGTTGTTTGCTGGGTAGGGCCTAGAAATGTTTGAGACCTCTTTGTATTAAATGTTACATATTGTTTTGGACTTATACAATAAATACATTTGTTATACATGATTTCTCTTAAGTTTTTAATACTCTGAATGTAAAATTTAATGTTTAAATGAATAATTTTAAATTGTGTTAAAACTGTGAATATGAGAATAAACTGCACAATATTTCTGTCTTGTCCAGGAAAATATTTCATTTTAACTCATGAAACCCCAACTAAAATTAGTATTTTACAATGCCCGATCTAATAATCTAAAAAGCAAAACAAATTTATGCCAAAAATGTTAATAGATTAGTATTTTATAACGATTTTCCTAAACTCCTGCATTTATGTAGAAAAATGTTCGGCATTCCTAGAAGCAACACCACATGTAGGCCTGGCAAACCTCAAATAAAATTGTTTCACCCGCTCAAGGCACTCAAAGAGTTAATTGGTATAAATCAATAATCTATACCAAAACCTACGCAAACGGACACTACAATAAACAGCAAGTCTATCCATCCGACAATCCACAAGACCGCAGCATTTAGATCCATGCTGTACCGAGCCTATAAGATTCCACTTAGCCAAGCCAATAGGAAGAAAGAACTGGACACCATTAAGAAGATCGCTCAAGTTACTAGGTTTAGAGCCAAAACAATAAAGGACATCACAAGAAAGACAAGGAGAAAAATCAATAGGCAGAATACACTACACAGCAGAACAACATTAGAAGAGATGAAAGAGGAAAACACCAGATATGTCACATTTAGCTACACGGGGACTACAACACAAAGGACTGCTAACAGATTAAAGAAGTACAGAGTTTCAATAGCCTACAGGACTCAGAACACCATGAGTATAATACTGCATCCAAAAATAGAAGATTGTAAAAAATTCGACGCTTCAGGCAAATATAAAATCAATTGTAACGATTGTGATAGCTTCTACATTGGACAGACTGTGAACTTCGTTAACCGCTTCAAAAACCACACATCTGCGTGGAGGAACATCAAACCGGAAAGATCAAATGTCGCACAACACCTGTTACAAAATGGCCACTCATTAGGAAAAATGGAGGACAGTCTATGTATTTTAAAGAAATGTAAGAAAGGATATTTAATAAATGTTTGGGAAGAATTGTATATTTATTAGGAAAAATGTAAAAATAGAAATAAGTTGATTAATGAACAAGTAAATTTCTATTCCAGTTGTACTTATAAAAAAGTATTGGCCGGTACTTCCGGTAGCCAATAGGGTATAAGTAGGGACGCCATTCAAGATTCTTGTCACTAGCCTATTGGGTCTGATGTTGATTGGAGTGTCCAATCGAAATCCATCACCACTTACCATCTTTTTTGTATATTTCCGTCTTGTTAGTAACAGTATAAGCGTAAATATATGTTTTAAGTGTTATAAGACGTCTCTTTTATTTACTTTCCGTAAATTTAATAACACGTACAATGCTGATCAAGAAGTTATTTATTTAAATAAGAAAGTCACGTCAAGTAAGAAAATTACAATCAAAACTCGGGAAATGATGATTATGTTGCTCTGATCACTGGGATGATCCCGGACAGTGGTGCAATCATGGGACATGATTACAACATCCCTATTTAAAGTTCTGATTGTTGCTCACAGATATCACTACAATATCTTTCCCAATGTTACTTGTACCTTGATAAGACTTTGCGAGACAATGATGATGTCTCTGCGACTGCGGAAGATGTTATTGTCAATACCGCAGTCGCCTGCACTATCACTGTCTGCCTGCAGATATCTAATGTTGAGTGACCAAGAAGTAAAGGTCGTCAGCACGGGATCTCCTAAGTTAAAACTCATCCTTCTTATCCAATATATTGTAACTGAAGTAAAAGTTAATTTAATTAAAGTTGGCAAAAAAAAAAAACAGAAAATCAATAGGCCTGGCCTATTTTTAGTACCTACTAGCATTACCCGGTGCATGTTGCTGCGCTTAACAATTATTATTTTTAAATGGTAATCTGTTGTTTACAATAAATTCTAAAAAATATACCAAGAACAAAAATAGAATATTTTATTTTACTTTAACGTCAGTGGATAAAAAATGTAAGCGCTTGATAAGCCCTGTACAAACGGGTTGTGAAATGATTGTTTGGAAGACTAAAGACAAAGTTGCAAGTGTCTAGAGGGCATTATCTACTGCAGTTTCAACACCTAAAACCATCAGTCCACCCAGCTTAGGTATTAGTTTGCTTCAGTCAATCACATTCGGCTCAAAACAGATCCAAACAAGGAGTCTAGATGAAAATTATAATTTGCTTTGTCCAAGTCGTTCTTTAAAAATCTCTTGTTATTTTTGTTGTTGTCTACGTCAATGGCATTTTTACTTGGAGGTGAACTTTTACTTTGTATTATCCTGTACAGTGTACTCAAACGCTTAGAGCAAGCGGCCCAAACCCATATGTTTTGTGGATAAGCCCGTCTCTCCTGTACCAAAATCTAAGACGCTAACCACTCAACACACTCAGTTAATGCATAGATCAAAGTGGATATATTTTACTTATGTTCAGCTTACTTGTATGGCAGTTTGCCTAGTCGTTGATCTATGTCTGTGAGGTGACAGTGGAACCAGAGCTAAGTTTAGCTACGTACTATTTGTATGTAAGCCATTAATACAAGAACTGGCCACATTTAGCCCAAGTTGTATTTTGTTTAGACTATATCTCTTGTTTCAGTTTGCAAAAGTTGCATTGTACGATACTTGGAGACAAATAAGTACTGCCCGATTTGTGATGTTCAAGTTCATAAATCAAAACCTCTGTTGAACATTCGCTCGGATCGTAAACTACAAGCGATTGTCTACAAATTGGTACCGGGCCTCTTGCAAAGTAAGTAATACGCTAGTTTTTATAAAAGCTTTTCATAAAATAAAACAAAAGAGTATGGCACAAATTGTAAAATATGCTTCAAAGTTAGAAAGATAACAGTCTTACACTGGTACACTCAAAAGTAACCAACATAAAACACGTCAATACAGGCGGCAAAGTCAAATTCAAAGTAAATGGTACAATTATTCATGGAAAAAGTAAGTCGCTCAAATAAATCAATTTTAGTAATATATTTTGTTTTTAGATTGTTAAACCTTCTGATTTTCTTTTCCTAGGAGAATTGAACTGCCGGAAAGAGTTTTATAAGAACCAACTAGATTCGAAGTTGAGCAGCAGTGAAAATGTGGCCGCAGCGTTGGAGGACAGCCCTGTATGTTCCGAGGGGGAGACATTCTTGTTGGGTGTCCAATATGTCGACGCATCTGCTGAGGTCACTATAATACTTCCTGTATGATAATAAGTGTACACATATATATAGAAGATCGTTGAAGGAAGATAAGTTGGTAGTGATCTGGGAATCTGGGATGGATAAAAAACTTATGCCAGAAACTTTTTTGTAAAGAGGGATCTTTCTGTTGGCTCACCTGAGAAAATTAGAGTCCATGGGCTAAAAGACACACAGTAAAAACCACAAAACATATTGGTAACACTGATACAGTCGAAACTTGACGAAAAAGTAAAACTGATAGGTGTTGCAAAACTGTCATATCACGCTGAGTTTGCGATTTTTAAAAACATCGCCATCGCCACACTCATTGACAAATCAATCAGGCAATCTCCATCATCAATGTTTACTGATAGCCTGTTAAGAGTTGTTTGGCCTGAATTTGGTTAGTCCATTGACCCTGTGCCAGCGAAAAAACATTAAAACCGATCATATTCACCGGTTTCTTGGGTCTAAAAACATTTCATGGGTTCCTCTAACCTTTAACCAATTTAAACCAGGATATTTGGTTGTGTTGTTGCTCTATTACCTCTTCATACCCAACTAGAAAGGGTGAAGCTCGAGTTTATTCAATGCATATATACTGCAGGATGAGTCTACCACAAGTACTGAGTAAGGACCAATAGGAGTTCTTTCATGAGGCCTTGCAGTTTATTTGGGGCAGAACAGTTTTGTAACTGATACATTATGTTTTTTTAAATAATTAGTTTCAGATTTGATGTTTTGGATGCAATAGCAATGAGAACCTATATTTATGTTACAGTCACATAACAAGAGATACCTGAGGTGTCCTGCGGCCATCAATGTCAGTATTCTACATAAGCTGATGAGAGCCAAGTTTGACCTGAAAGATGCGCAGAGAGTGGAGTTCCTATATGAGGGAGACCTGCTGCCCGACCACATGTCTCTCGTGGACTTGGCCTACATGTATCACTGGAAAAGGGTAAGTTAGACGTAACTGATGTTCGGATAGTCGTTCATTGACAGGAACTGCTTTTGATTACCTCCAGCAATTTTAGCAACATCCGTCAGCATACAGGGCTGTTAACATTCTGGAAAGTCAGGGGTAGTCATGGAAAAAAATTCTGGTCATTGAAAGTCATGGAAATAGGCAAAAAGTCATGGAAATCCCCAATGATGGATGGTTTTGGAGGGGACCTTTCAATTCTCTAGTTGGCCGTAACCCCCGACTATTGTAGCATTTTTCAGGATTTTTCACAAATTTATGATAATTTAATTTATTATATGTTGTATTAGTTTATCAGTTTTGAGTTTGTATTAGTTCATTGTTGTACCTATATTGCACTCCATTGTTATCTGTTAATACATATTTCAGTATTTTCTGTGAAATAACTTTTGTAGGCAGTATTATTTGTGTGTGTATGTTAAACTACAATTTTCAAGTAAAGTTTGTGAGTCATGGAAATCAATGGTAAATGGTCATGGAAATTAATGACACATTTTCTGTGGACACACTGAACATATCTTGATATCTTGTGGTGACACTGGTGATTGTCTTCCATGATTGCAGAACATCCGTTAATAGCGGTCACTCTTCGAACTTGGCAAAAGTGTCAATATCGATTTTTCATATATTTTTTTTCCTTTTGGTTAACTGACGTTTCGGATGATTGGGCTTAGTATATAATCAAAACTCTACTATACTGTATTTACATTTATGCATTGAAGAGTGGTGGTTGGCTGAAGCCCGCAATGTCTTTCCTCTCCTGGTTCAAGTCAAAGACATTTTCACCTGACACCTCTTGTATTAAATATAAAGCTATGTTATGTCCTTTGTCAACCAAACTGCATAGAAAAGTCATCATGAGGTAATCCATCATCCAAAAAAACAATGAGATTTGTAATTACAAATATTTGGTGTGTTAAAACCTTACACGAATCCTATCTTAATGTGACTTGCATAAAAATCGATAGAGAGTAAAAAATTATCAAAATTTTTATAATTGTAAAATTAATTCCCAAGAAATTGTCTTTTTACCAGGCCTACTTGGGCTGATGAGACAACAGCTTCTCATCAATTTTCTTCTGATCATAAACTGTCAATTAATTGTTTATAGAGCAGGTTATAACCCTCAATAAAAGCTGTATACTCCTTCTTCTGCCATGTATATACTAAGAATTAGAATTGATTGGTATTAGTGATGTGTCGATACCAAAATTTATCCATTTTCGATACCGATACAATTTTTTTTTAGTTTTACAACATTTTCAAGATGGATTGGTTATACCTTAATATGGTTCCATAAAGTTTTTTTGAGGTAATAGGGTGTTTTTCAAGTAAAGAAAAATTGAATTCATCAAAGACAAATTCTAACCTAGCCAATTTAAGTTTAAACTTAAACCCATCTAAACACATCGAACAACTACCATATCAAAGGTAAATGAAGATCTAAAAAAAAAATCAAAAAATAACTAGAGAATAAATAATAGCTAAAGGTGTGGCAGCTTGATATTTTTGGTTAAGCCAAACTCGAGGTTATATCGTAATCATCTCTTGCAGTCGTGGAGACATCATCGTTGTCTTCAGGGATCATTGCAAAATCCTGAATATCTTCCTCAGTCATTGAAACATCATCACAGTCTTTTGTGGTCGTAGCAAAATCCTGAATTTCGCTCTGTGGTAACTGAAACATCATCATCGTCTCCCTAGACATCAAGATCATCTTCTGCGATCGCGGCAACATTCATTTTTACATTCAATTCATTAACATTTTTCAGTCTTGTAGACATTTTCATAACACCTTAAACACCGAGGCCTATACACAGAGGAGTGTGACATCTAAAAATTTAAATACAATCAATAAACATTCAGTATCCCTACATATTTGATTTAGATGTTGGAAAAATATAAAGAAATCTATAACCAATATTGATTTTGAAAGAATGTGGTATTGTTTCTATTATATTTTTTTGTTTAATGGGCAATTTCTTGAACATGATTCCTTGATAAAAAATAATTGTATTTATTCCTTTAATAGTGGAGTGTTTTGAAATATTGATCTCATCTGGCTCTTTTTTGTTTCCAGAAAGATCCGATTGAGTTGGAATACCGGTTCCTCGAGTGTCAACAGAAGAGGATAAAACTGTCACATCACGATGACAATGCAGGTGTTGAAGAAAAATTAAACGTAGAGCATGAGGCAGACCGAGAGGTTCAGCTGCAGATCAGCGAGACTGGAGTGATGAGTGCGCAGAGTGTGGACAGCGTAGAGGTGACGTCCGTGAAGGATATCAACCTAGAGACCATGGAACTGGTCAAGTCATTGGGCAACCAAGTCACACTGTCCTTCGACAGTTCGCCAGGCAATAGCAAAGTCAAGATTAAGCATGAAATACCAACCAACAACAACACTATCACCATGGAAAGTGTTAGCGAAGCTCCCAAAGATGTAAATTGCGTTAAAGATTTGAAAGAGGAAGCTAGCGAAAGTAAAGAGATTACTGTGAAAAAAGAGTGTCCGGTAAAAGAGGACACGAAAGACTCGATTAAAGTAAATAATAATGAACCAGAGAAAAACAAAAGCCATGCGATCAATTCATCTCTCTCAATCACGGTGATTCCTGTGGGGAATAGGCCTACTGCCAGTACTCCTGTATATCGTCAAAAAGTTTATCCTGGTGCTGTGAAAGACAATTCCAATCAGTCAAGGCAGTTCAGAGTGAAAGAGACACCAAATGATACTAAGCGACCGGAAGTGACAATTAAACCGACTTCAGAAAAACCGGAATTCCCAAAATCAGGCAATGCAGCTCGTTACAAGACATTGAAAACCCCGATCAAACCGTGGAATCCCACTATCCCAAGGGCGACTATTATGGCCATGAAGCAAGCTCAGGCGGCGAGTCAAGAAAAAGATCCCAGTAAACCTTCACCAAAACCTCCTAAATTCTTTAAGATGCGCAATGTGCCTCGGTTCCTAGGCAACCCAGCGTCAGGAGTGAAACCGATGTATCAGGTGTTACCGGGCTCTGAACTCCCGACTTCTCAGCCGAGCTTATCACAGACTTCAAAATCTACGCCCTCCTCTGAGCTGACAGTGATGAAGATCGATCCAAAAACTCTAAACCCCATCTCTGTACCTCATCCTAAATCATCAAAATTGAACTCATCCTCCAGTAAACCACCTGTTACTTTTACTCCAGCTCATAAACCATCGGAGAGAGACTCGGTCAGTGGTGTGAATCCTATTCGAAATCCAGTTAGTAAAAGTAATCTACCATCCAGAGCTCCTAGTCTGGCTCATTCACAGAGTTTCCCATCCAGTCCGTTTGGCCTCCCTTCACCTCATGTTTTATACCCGGGGTTTCCTCGACACTTCTCCCCGGTGGATGCTGCAGGCAATCAGCTGTCTGCGGACAATCAGATACTGCGGGCCATGTCAATGTTGTGCTCTCCAGGTGCAGCTTTCCACCCCTCTCTCCCCCCCTCCATCAGCATGCTCTTCAACCCCCACCACCCTCACCATCGGTCCGCACCTGACAAGTTGAACTTCAAGTACAATCCTAGCGATTTTCACAAAAATGCTACCGGTACCACAACAACTCCATCAGTTCAGAGGATACCTCCTTCTGGTCCTTCGTCTAAAATTTCATCGCCTTCTCCGAATAGTAGTTTTTCCGAATCCCTCAGCTCCCCGGCTGTTGTTAAAGAAGAGAAACATCCAGCAGGGGAGAAAAAAGAAGCACCGTCTGAAGAATCTAGAAGTGGAAGTTTGGTGCCATCAAATGAGTTCAAATCTAAATCGACGCCTCCCTCGAGCAGTACAGAACAAGACAATCCCCTACCCAGAATAGGCAAGACGAGTCCTTTGCCTATAACTAATGGGTTATCTAGTATTACAAAGAATAATCTAGACAAAGAATATCTTCTGAAACTGCACAAGCAAAGTGCAAGTGCAAAACAGTGTATAACGGAACCCGCAGAACAAAGTAAAAGCGCAGATAATCAAAGAGATGATTCTAAAAAGGCAGTTGACAATAATAATAGTAGTTAAAGAATCTGTGATAGTATTAAACTTATAATGTGTGCTATTTTTACATCATGAAAAAATATAGGTTAGAGTTGTATTTGTAATTTATCAAACTCATTTGCCTTAAATGTCTTTAACAAAAATTTGCTATTAACTACGGCAAATATTCTTTACAAAGTGAATAGTTTTCCCGCCATAGTTCATGTTTGATCCTGTTGATTTAAAATATGTTTTTACCAAACTTTTAATTAGTTCATTTTAAACCTAAAACAGTCCAAGCAAAATTAATAGCCTATTAAGAACTTAAAAGTGCTATGTACAGGGTGTTCAAAAAAGGTCGATATAATTTAAGCACTGATTCCTTGGGTCAAAATAAATAGAAAATCAAGAATAACATTTTTTTTTAAATCGCTTAGTTAACCAGATATCCGCCATTTTGTATTTTTTACATAAACATTTTTATCTTTGAATTTACTCAACCGATCTTTGTGAAACTTGGTATGTTTGTTTGTTAACGTAAAAGAGACCCATGTAAAAAAATATCTATCTTAATCAACTAAAAGTTTCAAAATGGCGGCCTTTTTAATTTTTTAAACTTAAATTACTTGAAAATGGCTGATTTTGTGAAAGTATGTCAAAAAAACTTTTATATAGCATTGTTAATTTCCTATCAAAGAATACTAAGATTAAAAAGATTGAACAAGAAATAGCTGAAATATTACGAGTTTAAGCTGTAAATTGAGGCAAACCTGACTAGAGCCTTATTCTACCCCAATTTAGAACTAAAAATCGAAATATTTCAGACATTTCTCAGTCAATCTTTTTGATCTTGGCATCGTTTTATAGGAAATAAAAAATGTGAAATAAAAGTGTTCTTAATATTTTTTTCATAAAATCAGCCATTTTTGAGTAATTTTAGTTTAAATAATTAAAATGACCACCATTTTGAAATTTTTAGTTAAATCAAGATAACATTTTTTTCTAAGATGGGTCTCGCCTACCTTAACATAGGCTACATACCAAATTTCATAAAGATCGGTTGTAAAAATTCAAAGATTAAAATGTTTATGTAAAAAATACAAAATGGCGGATATCTGGCTAACGAAGCGGTTTTGGAAAAAATGTTTTATATTGATTTTCTCTTAATTTTGATCCAAGGAATCAGTACGTAAATTATGTCCCCACCTTTTTTGAACACCCTGTATAACAAAATTCTCTTCTTAATTAATTCTTTATTTCATGGGTTAACTTTTCACAAAGGGCATAATATGGTTTTTAAATGTCTTAAATTGCCCCTCACAGTTTAAATGTGTTGTTAACGATTTGGCAAAGGTTTTCCTAGTTAATAATTGTTTTTCTTCACAGTCTATATTTTTTCATCAACCCTTTTTTACTGAAAAGTACAAATTCTTACTTAAGTCAGAATCAAATGTAATATGAACAAATACTTTGATATAGTAATTGTTGAATTTGTATATTATAAAGAGCTTTTATATAAGGTTGAATGTTTATAATGGTTGTTGCAGGTGTATATACTAACATGTAGCAATAATTTTGATCACTCAATGAAGTATTATTTCCAAAATTTACATTTTCTGTTAGGCACATTAAAATGACATTTTTCACCCAAGCCTGCCTGGAAAACTCTCAAGGTTATAGAAAAAACTGCATAAATCTAAATGTTGCCTAAAATTTCCTCACAACTATATATTTTTGTCACAAAAGTCACAGGAGTTTATTAACTCAATAGTTATTCTACTTAGCCTAAGTTAAAAGAGTTTTAAGATGTGTTACATTTGCCTTTTAAATCAACTATTTTCTATTGTCGAATTGCCTTACATACTTAAACAGTGTTATATTTCATGTAAATACATAAGTGTTACCTGATTAGCCAAATTTAACATCGCCTTGTAAGTTTGAGAATATATTTATTGTATTTGTAGGCCTATATATTTTACTTGAAAATGATTTAAATCTGATATTTAAGCGGCAAAACCCATAAGCTTGACATATCGCTTGTACCCATCAATGGTAATTCAACATAAAACCTATAGATATGTATTGCATATAATATCTTGATAATTTTCGTTTTTTAACAGTCCTTAAGATTTTGGCACTATACCATTCCTCAACCCGACTCAAGTTAATTTTTTTTAAGTATTTCATAGTCTCTTACTCCAAACAAAAATGCTCTGTTATTTCAAAAAATATGAACTAAAATAAAAAATTGTAAAATAACATAATTTGGAAAAATTAATTGATTGTAACATGTAGAATCTGTCTTGCATTGTTTTGGTGAATGGTCCAAAAGGGGAGTATTGAACAAGGTCCAATGATTAAGTCAGTGTCATGATGTCCAAAATATAATCTTTGAGCTGTCTCACAACATCCAATAAAAACTATTCGACTGTAGCACAACGTCCAAATATCATCATGTCCAAAAGTACAGTAGCTGAAAAAAATATAAGTCTTTCTACAAGCTTTGCACGTCATGGGACTGGACGTCGTGCAACAGTGCACTTTATACTCTTAAAACCCCTTGCCAGTTACACGACGTCCAATAGCTCAGCGCTGTTGCACGATGTCCAGAGCTCCTACATTCGGAGCAAGGTTGGATTAGGCTAAGTTAGGTTAGTATGCACTACAGACGGTAAAACAGTACTCACAGGGTGCAGGCACTCTGGATGTCGTGGGATAGCGCTGATAGCTATTTGATGTCGTGCAACTGGCAGCGGCTTCAGACGTTGTGCTACTGCTACTTATTTAAGAGTGTAAAGTGTGCTGTTTCACGACGATCAATCTCATGACGTCCAAAGTTTGTAGAAAGACTATGTTTGTTGCAGTTACTGCACTTTTGGACATGGTGAGATTTGGATGTTGTGCAACAGTCAAATATGTTATATTGGACGCCATGAAACAGCACAAAAATTGTATTTTAGACGTCATGCAATGAATCCATCTAAAATTGTGCTATTTTCTGACAAAAATTTTTCTCTAAAACCCATGTTAAGAGTGAAAATAATGTGTAACATGTTTAATGTGTTGAATATTGGGTTAATATATTGGTCCATGTTATGATTAGGTCCACTTTTCAAAATGCTCGCACACAGGTTATTGTATTCTGTTTACTTCTTATTAACATGAAAACAAAAACTCTTTAACTGTGTTCGTATTGGTAGTGTGGGTTTCTGTGGTTGGTTTAAAGGGATGTTTCTACAATACTTTTTTAACTGCATGTATTGTATTTGTATACCTCAAACTGTATTGTGGACGCCTAGCATAAAAATCCAAGGACCGTTATGTTTAAAAAGTGTAAAAAGTAAATACACATTTTGAGCTGTTAAAGAGGGAATATTTGGCTTTTCAAATACTGTGATGCTTGTACAATCTGTGACTTCGTTAATTAAATTCTTGTACCATTACAACGTATAGTGCAAACCAACACTTTGTATACACTTCAAAAACACTTGGCGTTAAAACATCCAACTTTGTAGAAAAATTTATTAAGATAAGTAGAAAGATTATATTTATTTATTGCACAGACTATACATACAGCTTTAAATATTTAATTATTATACAGCTCAAACTGTTGTTATGGTCATACTGGCCAAAAAGCTGGTCCACTTTAAAAAGTCGTGAACTACCTACCTTAATAATTCGTACCCAGTGCTCGATTTACGGAACGCGGTGGGACGGCGTTCCGGTACCCCTTTTTCAGAAAGATAAAAATATTTGGCATAAGTAGGTACTAATCACATTAAATAGGTTACAGTTACGGAACCTCACTTTTTACAAATCGAGCACTGTTTGTACCAATCAATATTATGTTTGTTCTTTTGTGAAAACCCCATTAATTAGTGTTATGTACTTGTTTCTTAACGATTTTGTAAACAAAACATTTATTTTATGGGTTTTGCCATACTGTCATATTTTATTCGTTTGTACATTTTTTCTTTACAAGATTTTTTATATTAATATATTTTTAATCATAAGGCACATATGTAATGTTATTGTATTAATAAGAATGTGTATAAATTAGGTTTAAGTTCATTTTGAATCATTTTTATCACATTTTCAAGTTATGATAAATTAAATTAATATATATAACGTTAATTGTTAAATTACTTAAAATATATCTTTCAATTTTTTGATAAATAATTAAGTACCGTAATGAGAGTTGAAATAACTTTATTTTTCATATCAAAGTTTATATCTATTAAAAAGGAAAAAAAAAATAAATATCTTTTTTATTTTGAGCGCATATTTAAAATGTTACTATAGTTAACTACACTATTTTTATGATCAAAATTATTTATCTTTAATGAGAAAATTGCAATGTTTATAAAGATGAGCTTGTTACCACAAATCAGAAAATATTGTTTACTATCTGTATTAATAGTCAAAGTTACTATACAATCATATTTGTAGCGTAACAAAACAATTATACTTAATAGTGAAGCTGTAAAAAAATAGGTACAACAATTTGAAATGGCTATTTATGAAAGAGGTATTGTACATATTATCTTGCTCAATTGAATCTAGTTTTATGGTTTAACACCATTAAAATACAACAGAACAATTATTTTTTGTTACATACCACTATGCACATCATAGGAATGTATCAATATGTATTTTTTTTGTACAGTTAATCATGTTTACGGCCTCTTCTTTATGAAGGGCAAAGAACAGGAAACCTAAGTAAACCATAGTTCAAATTAAGTTTAGGGCATTGAAACAATTTTGTTCAAAATAATTAGATACCATACACACATACAGTAGATTCTAACAGTAGAATTATTGTGTACCTATTTTCAGTTTTGAATATTAAGTTTTATATAAGCACGGATTCATATCTTAAATAATATTTTAAAACCAATTTACTTGTTCACACAAGTAAACTGTTTATAGAATTAAAATAAAATATCTCTCTCGTAAAAGTTAACAGTTAGCACAAAATAAATTACAATGAGGTTTGTTATGTGGATTGTAATTTATAACGTTTTAAGTTATCGTTCATGTGTATACTTTCTTCACTGGGTATGTTTGCTGTTATGAATACAAGACAAATTTAATTTGACGATGATCAAGAACTTTCGAAATAACATTTGCCATGAAATGTTCAAAAGTTATTTACATTTCATTGTTTGTAAGAGCAAGTTAGTCTGTGATATTAACATTTCAGGATAGGCTTACTTTACATAATAAATAATTAAATGTAAATATTGTATATTACATTTTATATAGTTTTGGTATTGTATGTGCCTTTCTAGAACAGATTTAAGTTTTTGGATGGTTTTGTTACTCCTAGTCAGTTACTGGTTGAGGGCTTTTGTAAAGACATTTTCTCATCAACAGTTTGCACATTTGCATGGATTGTAAGCTTTTATAAGGAACACTTTTTTACTGTGAAGGGTCTTTCAATATTTCAGCCTTATCTCACAAATGGAAATTATCTCACACGTAAACATAACTTTTGTAAATTGTACAACTTTTTGAATATTCTGTATTATTTTTGTAAATAAACAGTTTGATGATTTGTTATTTAATGTTTTTTTTTTTGCCTCTTCCACTAATATTGTTGATGTGAGAATTGAGAAATTTTTGGTGCAGTGCTCTACGTCAGGGAAAATTGAAGAGAAGACAGCTTACTTAGTATAAAATGAGTTTCATTTTATACATGCTAAATAATATTGTAAACTATACATTTTTATTGCTAACAAAAGGTGTTTCCAGTATTGTTTTCCAATTTTACACTAAAATGACATTTGTCTAGTTGGCCCGGTTTCGAAAGTGGAGCACATCTTCAGGCCATAAAGAAATATTTTTAATGAGCCTGACAGCACTTGTCTTAGTCAGATTAGCTTTATCTGAGTGTAACTCAGTTAACCTATATCCTCATTCTTACTAGGGTTTTTAAGTGTTTGCCGTTCAAAAATATAACTGTGGACTCAAATCGGCAAGTTTGTTAGTTCGATTCTGAAGTAAAGTCAAAAACTTTGTGTTGATTCAAAAGTGAACCCAGCTAGCTGACCTTGAATCTTTGTGCTTTTAATGACCTGGGTAAACTAACAGGATCTAAGACAGACCATCCTCTTCATTCTACCGTCACCCTTCTTATATCCAGCATGAAATGTATATATAAAATAACATCACTGGTAAATGTTCAGGTGAATAAAGCAAACGGGTAATTTTATAACACAGTTTATTCCTTATAAAACAAAAAGGTTCCAAATACTAAGTGTTAACTGTAAAACAGGTTGTGGACAATGCAGTTATCTAAGCTGAAGATGAATGGCTTTGTAATTGAGCAGCAAAAGCTATAAAACAAAATGTGAACAGAATCAGTTTGAAACAGAAGAGTGCTCTTTCTCTGAAGCACTTGGGGGGGGGTAATTGTAGCAGCCACGTCACTGTTTCAATATCAAACTATCAAAGAGTACAATTTCAGTAGCAATATCCAAAAATATAACAAAAATTGTTTATTTTAGCACATACAGCCACTCTCCGCATCCTGTTGGTCATTCTGCTGAGAGTGCTGGGTTTGAAGATCCACGGCTGAAACTTGGTTAAGGAAAGATATTTACTCAGTTGACAACATGGGGAAGGAATCCAAAAAAGGCTGTTTCAAGTTGCCAAATTGAAATCAAACAAGATAAATATGACATTACATTGAAAAACAGTATACTGATTCAAGTTTTGTTTGTAAGAGCGTTGAGCTTCTAATCTTGATGACACGTTTTGTTTGAATGCTATACTTACCTATTCTTACCAGTATATCAATACATGGTACCACAACAGTTCGGGCAGTATAGGTCTCCAAACATGCGACAGCACTTTAGATCAAGGACTAGCATCCCATCTTGGGGAGTGAGCTGGTTAGGTGGTAGAGCGTGGGACATCGGTCCCAAGTTCAAATCCTGCCAAATCACCAGTGGATTTGATCAAAAAGATAATGCCAAAAACCCTGAGCCTAGCCTGAATTAATGTGAAAAATTGTTCCGAACTCATGCATAGCGTTCTAGAACATAAACAAAAAAAGTATCCCATCTTAGCTTTCCCTTCTATAGTGTTTCGGGTTTAACTCACGTTTAGCTGAGCTGTGAGGCCTAAAATGAATGGCTTGGATGGAATAATACTAAAAATCTTAGTTTGTACACCTGTTCAGGAAATTTTCATAGAATAGCAAGTGCAAGTGCTTATTACTTGGTTGTCTTGGATGCAACCTTCGTTAGCTATTGATTCTGTCTTAAGTTTCAACACCTCACCAGATAAAATAGTTTAGTTTTGGCCTCTATATAAGCTGGATTGTTTTTCAATTAAATACATTTTATTTGTACATCACAGAATTTTTTTAAAGTTTATTCATCATGACACCACCAAAAAGATCAGAGTAGTGATTAAGTGGTTGATAACTGATACCATATGAATATAAAAAAATATATATAATCAATCGGGAAAGTATATATTGTTATTATTTTGATGAAAACTCAATTACAAACGAGCTTTTAAACTATGAAATGAACTATAAACTATTGAAACTATGAACTATGATAGAGCTGAATGTGTGTGTATAGCTCTCTCATATTAGTCAGCAAGTTGCCGGGTTGATCATCTTAATCAGTAGGCTTGCTAAAGGTGGTTCAAAACTAGACATAACCAACAATTGGGCTAGGGTCCTCATAAATACTGTAGAACCCCTCATATACGACCATGACGGGCTGGGCCATCGTCGAAACGACCAAAAGGTCAGATATCGGGAGGAGCATAACCTGCAGTCTCCGCCACATCGGAAATCGTGTCCCGCTACCATGACAACTCCTATAATTGGGAACATTAGTGATCGTCTACCACAATTACGTCTAAATCCACAATCGGCATTTCGATTAACCGATCGCGCTCGGCTTTATTGCCCCAGACAGGAAAAAAGTAGACACTAGGTCGGATATCCCGAGGAGTTCGTTATTACGAGGTCGGATATGAGGGGTTCTACTGTAGTCCTGAAAATGGGTTTTTACAATACATGTCATGCAGTTCCAAAAGTAACAATCATGTTACATATGTTTTGACAGGATCTCATGCACACATGAACATCATTGCTGGTAAATGACTTCAAGAGTCTGTTACTTTAATACTTTTCAATGAAATGTACTACTCGTGTACCGGCAATGTTGTGTTTCCGTTATAGGCCTTCTTTTTACAAAAAATAATTTATTTCTATGTCTTATCATCAGTGTGTAGGATGTGTGTCCGTATTTAAATATCAACAAAGCTAATCAAGTATATTTTATATATTCCCTGGACTAAAGTGTTTGACGATGGCATCTCGCTGAAACATGTAAGATGATTGTTACTTTTCAAACTGTATGACAGGTATTGTAAAAAGACCCATTTAGTCATCATTGAAGTTTTTGGGCTAACATAACGATTTATAATACTAATAAATGGTCCTGACAAAACTACAATAAATCATCTCACATCATTATACTAACTAAATCATGCATCAGTTGAAAATACAGACTCCTGTTTCGAAGAGAACTAATAATCATTCACTGTAGCAGCTGATTAAGCACTCAACAGATGACGATTGTGCTTTGTCTATTTTTCAATGATGGCATTAGACCTAGGTGAGTTGTATACTTACTAGTTTAGGCAATGCCATCATTGTTTTCTATCTAAAAATTTTTAATGTATGTCAACTAATAAGAAAATTGAATATAACGATAAATAATAAAACCAAAAGGAAATAAAGGGGGAATTATTAAAATAAATATATTTTATTACATTATGTATTGTATAAATATCCTCATAGTTATAATTAATTATTAACCAATAAGTTATCAAGAAAGATCACTTTCACATCTTATAATACGTTTAGTTGGTGAAGAAGTTATTGATTGCTTAGTCAGTTGGCAGGACATGTCTCAACAAGCGCAGCTACTTTCTGAGCTCCCCGACTCATTCGGTGTGTCTTTCAACACCACTTCTTGCACTAAGAAAATGGAGTCAAGGAAAAACAAAAT